ACCTCGTGGAATTTTTAGAACCTTCCTTTTATTTCCAGTACACCAGGTGTATAAACAAAAAGCAGTTCATTTATTACATGCACACTGTGAAAGAGACCATCGTTTACTTGATTCAAAATAAGTACATCTCCAATTTGGACTACGACATGTTCATACACATTTTACTGTCGAATTATATGAGGAACGCCGACTGGGTGAAGGACGAGGGGGGTGAGGAAGGAGGAAAGGATAAAGTGGGTGACGAAGAAACACCCGAGAAGGAATCGAAAGGCATCCAAAGCAGTAGCGCCACGAAGCACCTGTACAGGAGCACTACGCAGGAGGTTGTTCCAAAGCAGCAGCTTTTCCAGGAATTGTACAAAAGTGTTGTACTGGACGAGAAGTACATAATGAACAAGTCGCACGACTTGGTGAAGTACACCGAAACGGTAAACACAGAACAGGAATATCTAGATAGCAGTAAGTTGATAGACTTACTGAAGAAGTTAGAACAGATTAATTTCCTCCCATGTATTGTGTTCAACTTTGAAAGAAAGGAGCTTGAAGATATGACTATAAATCTGATTAACGAACTTATGAAAAGACAACACGATAAATATTACGGAGATGAAGAAAGGACTTTTAACACGAAGATGGAAAATAAAATGAGACAAGAAAGGTACGAAAATTTACTGAAACAGAGAGAAATATTATTAAAAATGAAGACTGTTTCGCGTAATCAGAGGTTGGAACAGAATATGGATAAGGAATATTTAGACATGCTGAATGAAGAAGAGATCCCAGAACCACCAGTCAATGTTTCGGAAGAATATGATGGAGACTTCTACTTCTGCAACAGGAAAGTCTACATTAACTATGTCACAGAGATAGAAGATTTGATTAAGGAAGCGGAAAGAGCTATTGAAGGAAGGAAGTACAAATCTGTACTAATCGAAGGAATGAAAAGGGGAATAGGGCTACATTATGAAGTACTGCCTTACAAATTTACCATCATTGTGGAATCCCTATTTCGACTAGGATATATTAAAATTATTTTTAGCAATAAGAATTTATCTCTAGGTATTAATATACCTTGTAAATCTATCATTTTTGCTGGACATACTTTCGAATTAAATTCAGTTATGTTTAAACAAACATCTGGAAGAGCCGGAAGAAGAGGTTTCGATTTGTATGGAAATATTATTATATGGAATATTAACTTTAAGAATTTAAGCAGATTAATTACGTCGCCTCTTCAGACCCTGTCAGGTTCCTATGCTGTGAATTTTACGAACATTTGCAGAAGTATGCTATTGTACAATTGCTTGAAGAAGAATAAAGACATGGAGGAAATTACTAACAGAAACAAAGCAGTGGTTAATAAGCCTATTAAGAAGAAGAAGAAAGATGAAACCATGACTGTTGCCGAAAAGGAAGAGATATTTGAGAAAAACAGAATGATTAACGTGAATTTTTTTGCCCGAATTAATGGGATCCTAAGCGTTTTTTACAATTCGTTGTATTATGTAAATGCCTTTCAGCATTGGGGAGATGGCGATGGGGGTGATAAAATCGGCTCTCATTTTTCGGAACGTGTAACTATGACGAAGGGGGTGGCACCAAACCAGCAGAAATTGCACAATGGGGATGTAGCGCGGAACGAGATTTCTTGCTCCCCTGATGCGGGAGTGAAAACGACTGAATGGTTGAATTACCACCCCAGCGAATTCGATTATCAGAAGGAGAAAACCAATACCCTGAAGAAATACGTGGATAGAAAATACGAATACAACGACTTGTGCTGCGAATTTTTAGCTATGAACAAAGGAAAGAAAAATGAAGTAGGGGCAGGAGAAAAACACTTAAGGGAGTTGTGCTTCAGAATTAAAGTTCACTTCTTAATGTTTATAAACATTTTGGTCGAGATGGAAGCAATAGATGAAGAGTGCAATATAATAAATATGACCGAGCTAGCCATATTTTTAAAAAAAGAATGTGACAACAATTTGGTATTAACCTATTTGTTAGTAAAGAAAGTGTTACATAATATTGTTGGAGATAGCACATTTTTAGGTTCCTCCGTTGGTATGATTCCGCTGCAAAAAATAATTGATCGTGTAACGTTTGAGAAGAATTATTCGCGTAATGTTTTGGTGGACGATTCTGCAAGAGGGCAATTTATTTTGTTGTTTATACTTTCCCATTTTATTAATAAAATAAAAGAAAACAAAATAGCTTTGACGAAGGTGCTAATAAATTTCAATTGTAAAGTTAGAACCAAATTGGAGTTGTTCAGTTCCACGTATTTCCCCTTATTACACATTTTGCCTGCTCCTGTCCGAAAGCATATAAAGAACATTGAAACAGTTTTGTTGAGGTACCTCGTGAATTACTCTTTGCTCGTTTTAGCAAAATTAAATTTGTTGCAGAGGAAGAAGACGTATTTACTGCCCTACAGCCACCTGTACATTTTCGAGCAGCACCCATCACTACATTTGGGGGAGATATTTCCGCACGGTCATTCTGAATACTTGGCCTTTTATCAGTCGAAGGTTAGGAAAAGAGTGTGCTCATGGGCGTAGTGTGGTTTGCGTGTAATTATATATTCCCTCATGGAGATTTACTCCCTCGTCGGAGCAATCATGCATGTCACCAAATGGATTTAAAAAAAGAGGGAAGCGAGACGAATTTGGCTTTTTTTTTTTTTTTTTTTTCATTTTAACCGTGTATTTAATGTTTTTTCCTTTTTTGCAGCTCCGCGAGTACAAAATAAGATCTCCCTTCCTGGCTTCCCTATACCATTGCGACAATTTCGAAACCCTAGATGAACTACTTTACACGTCCATCCTGGACTTAGATATACGCAAGAACATGATTCCAGACATCGGAGAGGATTACATCTCCTTTTTTAAATTCGAAGATGATGTAATAAAAGAGGAAAAGGTGTGCTTGAAGAATTCGTACATTTTGGATTATTTTATTCATGGCAAATATAACGTACTGAGGAGCAAGAATGACTTGGGTCAGTATAGCTGGTACATAGTGGATCGATTTATCCAGGCACTAAATAACATCGAACACTTTTTACATGGAGTGAAGAAGGACAGTCTGTTGCTATCGTCCGACGTTTTTTACACATACCTGAACACCTTGAAGGACGTTTTGGAGAAGTACTTCAAGTCGATTAATTCTGCCCAGGCGCAGAATGAGTAGCAGTGTGCTGAGGCGAGGGGCAGCAAAGGAGGCAATGTGTTTAAGAAAATAAGTTATGAAATGGTTTCAGGGGGTAGAAGACGGGGGCACATTAGTGTGTAGCCCCCAACTAGATCACCTCTAAGTGGATTGAACACTCCAATTTTGTTACATATTGCTACATACTGCCACAATTTGCCCCATCTGACAACAGCGCATGCTCTGATTTATAGTGCTACTCATTCCGTGCTATTTCGTCAAATTGTGACGTCATACATGAGAGGAGGGTACCTATTCGCATGCCCCCATTTTCTTAACCATTCTATGCATGTTGCATCCATGCAAAATTGATAAATTATTTTGTGTGTGTATATATAATTAGGGCTTCTTTCTAAAGCTGTGTTAGTAATTTACCATATTGACATAACGTCCAATTTAAGAGACTTTTAACAATATGTATAAATGGGATTTTTTATTTTTTTCCTTTTTTATAAAAGTTTTCACGTGCAATAATATTGCTACTGCTATGCTTGTGTGAAGGGGTATCAAATCGTTAGTGCTCATATTCCTTATGTAAGTTTGTTCAATGGCAACAAAAAAAAAAAAAAAAAGAAAAGAAAGAAACGGCCAAGTATGGCTCTACATATATAATATGTGTGCAGTGCAACACAATAATGTGTAAGCGCATACGTGTGAAGTCGCAGTCATTTGTTGAGACAGAAAAATGCGATTACTGGGCTACTAAGCACAGTGGCTGCTGGACAAAATAAGCGCCCACAGGTATATACGTGAATGTACGTAGCTACTGCGTGATGTGCAAAAGGTCGAACATACGAATGGTCCATTTAGTGCGAACAAATTAAGAACAGCTTGATGGTACTATGATGCAGTAAATGAGCACACTGAAATGGAATAGAAAAAAAAAAAAAAAAAAAGGAAGTGAAAATGAAAAGGGTTAACATGGGTGTGTATGGGCATTCAAATAGACGAACGACGGAACGACACGTTGTGCCTTTACTTCTTACACTTCAACTGCAACAAATAAAAAAACATGTAAACAAAAAAAAAAAAAAAGGGGGTAACAGTGTACGAAGTTATGCACAACTTCTAACTACAAAAAATATGCACCGCAAAGTGCATGTTTCATTTATGCATTGAAACGCAAAGGAATTGCGATTGGGGGCTACATACACATGTATGTACAAATACAATGAAAGAAAAAAAAAAAAAAAAGGAAAAAATTAAATTATATAAAGACTTAATTCTGCAAACGTAAAAAAAAGTAAAGAAACCTCCATTATGATGGATCACACAAAGGTTCTTGCCGAATTTTTCGCATTATTTATGATCCTTTATCCAGTTGTAACATTCAAAACGAAAAAAGAGCTAATAAAATGGGTGATAGGGCAAAGAAGGGTGCAAATTTTACTTCAACACGTTAAGTGCCAACTCGGTTATATTATATCTGCAACTGTTTTATTTTTAATGATTTATTTCGTTTTAGTAGTTTTAACCCACATTTCCTGTCTAAATTTGTCAGCAAGTCATTGTGGTAACTGTTTTATATTGCGTTACCTGACGTTACGTTGAGTTACATGAGATTACTTTTTTTTTTTTTTTTTTTTTTTCTTGATTGTGTGCAATTTTATCCAGTTCGGTAGGATGCTACTCCATTTCGTTGATCATTTTTGGCTACCATCTCTTGTCTTAAAGGATTGCTTACAAGTTTAAGGGCGGCCATTATGCGGTTTACTGTGACAGCACAATGTCCTAAAGGTGCGTATCTATTATACATGCTTCTCCGCAACTGTCATGGATTGGAAGACACTCTATGAATCACATTTGGAGCCATCGTTTAAATTGTAGTAAGCTTCAAATTCTCTTTTGAAATTTTTTACGTCCTCGTACAATTCCTTAAATGAGCATCTTCTGGATGGTACAAATTGCAAGCATTTGTTTATTATTTTTTTAATTTTCCTTTTCCATAAGGCATCAGAAAAAATTCCTTTACTTGGCAATAAATCATTAATGGTGATATTTTTTTCTCCAGAATAAATGTTAGTACTGTTTTTACAATTCCATTCACACAACACATCGACTACCTTTACTTCGTCTTTGTTAACAACGCTTAATAAATTGTTTCCACCAAATAATTGGCATAATACTAGCCCAACGCTGAAGATTGTGGTTTTTGTTGTGAACTTGACCACCCATGAGTCAATATTTTGCATTTTAAAATATTCAATTTCTTTTTTTTTTTTTTTTTTCTTTTCCGATTCGTTTAATTTGATTTCCATATCTTTTATTTTTTCATCTTTTTTACTTAAAAACTCTTTTATTTCTGCGTTATCTGAGTAATGTTCTAGCGCACCATCATCGTTCATGTCATGCGTGCATATCTTCATTAAGTAGTGACCTTTTAATATGTCTTCTTCTGCACTATTTTGATGATGAATATCCGAGGTTGCTCGTTTTTCTGACGACTCGGCATTCGCCTGTTCTGAATTGACGTTGGGTGGGACGAGGTCAACCGGTTTGCATCGTGGGGATACACTGTTTTCTTTTTCTTTAATGAGGTTGCTACTGCTTTTCTTATAGCCGCTATTTCCATTTATTTCATTATCTCGGTCCTTCTGTATCATGTTCGTGCTGTTGTAAGAGTTACCGTTTTGGGTAGCGCCGCTGTGAGGAATGCTACTGGCCGGATTAGCAGAGAGCGAGTTGCCGTTGTTGCTGTTTCGAATGGTTCCATTTCCGCTTACACCTCTCATATTTGGATGGTTATGGGAAAGGCTGACGTTGACACTTACCGGGTGGGGAACAGCACCGTTTTTCTCCATGTGGATCGTTCTCTTACTACCACTGCTGTTTCCTTTGGTGTTGGAAATGGTGCTACTTTTGGCATTATTCCTGTTGTTATTCATGCGGTTATAGCTGCTGCCATCGCTGACACTGGCACAGTAAGTACTATCCTTGTTCCTTGAAGAAATGGATCGAACGTCGTCCTCTTCACTATTACACGGGCATTTTCCATTCCCTGGACTAAATGTCTGACCACTAAGCATAAAATCTTTTTTCTTCACAATGGGCTGAATAAAACGCAAGTCTAGGAGCTTTTTCCATCTGTGCTTTATTCTTAACTGTCTCGTTTTGGTAATGTGGAAAATGTTGGAATTGGCACCATACCATGTTTTTCTAAACTGTTCAGATTTATTTAGAGATGACAATAGGAATACTAGGAGGGCACATTCAGGAGAACAAAACCCCTTGGTACAAATTACATAGTATAAGAAATTATTAAAGTTCTTTTGAAAATTATTAATTCTAATTTTTTCATAGTACGCAGGATTTGTTGGAAAATAGAAACGTCTGCCCGGTAAGGCATCGCCTACATCTATGATGGTAACCTTTTTACAAACTATTTTTGAGATTCCCGTTTCGTATTTAATCATAATATTTCCTGGTTTTGTGTCCCAATTAATAATTGGATTGTCAACAGATTCGCATATAATCATTAAATGTTTAACTAATTTTTTGCAAATGTCCAGTAAGAATTGACCTTGTTTTACATTTTCCGTTCCTTTTAATTTCTGAATAATGTACGTTAAAGTACACCCGTCAATCATTTGCATAGCTACTCCTAACACATGCTCATTATTTTTTGTTATTCCAACGGATGTCCATAGATATTTTGGTACTGAACCTGGATTTGTTTTGTTTTTTTTAAAAATTTCTTTTGCTAAGGAACTTTGGAGTGGTGCATTTTTCTCTTTACACCTTTTGCAAACATTGATTTTCATTTTGTTGGTATTGTTCATATTATGATTTGGAGAATTGTCCGGTGCGTGGATATTTAGTGGTAGATTCTGTTGGTCGTAATTCTGGCGTAAGTTTTTACTGGGGGAGGAAATACAAGACACTACACTTTGTGGCACTTCTCTCTTTATTGGGGATGTGAGTTTGCAGCCGCGTGAAGGAATTTTCGATATTTTTGTTTTGATAGGGGTATTATTTTGTTGCGTATTTTTCTCATTTTCAGTATCGGTAAGTTTATTTTTGACCTCAGCATTGGTATTTTCCCGCCCTTTTTTCGCATTAATTACTCTTCTTTTTTTGTTTATAATTTTATGCTTTGTTTTTAATTTTGTTTCCTTTTTGGTAACCCGTTTATTTCGGACATGTTTATTTTTACCGGCCTTCTGTTTGTTGTTGGCGATTTGTTTGCGCTTTCTCCTGATGCTTTCCCTTTTGATTCTGTTTCTTGTGTGTAGGTATATACTTGGGCTGTTCTTGCGGCTGATACGATTGCACTGGGTGCCTCGGCTACTTCCGACGCTGCGACTACCGCCTTCGCTTCCGCCATTGCTGGTGGCGTTCTTGGTTCTCCCAATTTCTCCGTTTTCTTCCTTACTTCTTCCGTTGCTATCCACTTGAACAATGTAGTTATTTTCCTTCACACGTGGATCACTTTTCGAGACGCATGAATGGCCACAGGTATCCACATGCTGACCCGTCAGTTTTTTCTTCTTGGCCGTGGTTGTTTCCCAAACATGGTTGTCTTCATTATTTTTTTCAGCGTAAATGTTTAGAAGGCTTTTGTTTAAGGTGTTTTTATTTGCATCATTTGGTAAGGCCATATCTTTCTCGAAGAAAATGTTTAAGCAGTACTTACATATAAATGGGTAAACAGCATTGTTTGGAGAATTGGTGGAAATATCCCCAATTGGAATTTGACTCAGCTCGCTTGTGAGGTTATTACTGCTGATGCTGTTCTGTTTAGTATTAGTGGTAGTGCTACTTATGCCGTTACTTGCACAGATGTTTTTATCTTCATTTGTTTTGTCAACTTCCATGCTGTAGTTGTACTTGGGTTGCTGCTCATAATTACACGCCTGCATATCATTATTGGGGGCAAGTGTGTTATTCATTAAATTTCTAATGCTGAGAATTTCTGAAAGGTACCAATCTAGGTTTTCATTGGAGGAGCGACTGGAATCGGGGTGTTTATTCGTGGAGCGCCACAGATCAGGATGATTATTTGTGGTTGTGTCTTTTTGGGAACACATTTTTTTATAGGATTCCAGGTATTGGCTGTTTGATAAATCAGAGCTGGAGATGTTCAGAGTTGAGAGGCTATCAAACTGGGTTGAGTTTTTACTTTGAAGAATATTTTTCACACTTTGCTCATGACGTTTTGTTATATATTCCTCCGACTGGTATTTCTTCTGTGCATAATTTTCAATTTCGATGTTGACATTTTTGAGTTGTTTCCCCTCGGATAGGAGGCTGTGTATTTTGTACTTTAATTTGTATATGCCACATGAACTCGTATTTAAAATTTTGATGGCGAATTTATTGGATGGCATGTTTTTTATCGAATGTTGATAAATGGTAAAGGGATTATTTATGGCGTCGTTGATGTAGTTGTATCTAATTACGTGCTTGATTATGTTGTACATGGTATTTGCCTCCACGGTCATTTTTTGCACAAGGAATACTTTACATTGATCTTTTAGTTGGTCGTATATGGATTTATATCCAAACATTTTTAAGAAATTTATTCTGTTTATTGCTTGGATGAGGCTTTTGCAGAGCGCGTTGCGGGGGATTCTTTTGGGGGAGTTTTGGGGCAAGTTTTGCTGTCCATTTTGTTGCCCATTTTGGCGTAAATTGTCCATGTGGTTCGACCTCAGGAGGTTGGGCAGTTTACCCCCTACAACGGCTTTACTACAATTTTCACCGTTGATACTATTATTTCCATTATTTCTATTCCTGCAGTTGGACAATAATTCTCTGTCCTTGTTCATAATAGAGAAGGTTTTGTTAATCATTCTGTTGTTGAAAACATTGGAATGTGTGTCGTTTTGGCCTCTTCGTAGGGCAGTCGAATGGGGAAGCCCCGTATTGGGCCGTTGGTCGCCTGCAATGATGGCGCCGACCCTATTTGTAAGATTTGAGCCTTCTGGCCTTACACTGGGGTCTGCATTTTTATTAGCACTAGCCGTAGAATTCGCATTGGCATTGGCATTGATATTAATGTTAACTATCCTGGAGGTGTACATATCGCTCGGGGGTGCACCTTTGGTGTTAGCACTACTGTTAGGAATGCTGTCCACCACGTTGTTACGTGCGTCTTTGCACTTCTTGATGGTACTTACATTTTCATGAGTACTGCCCATGTTGTCGATGTGCTTGTTTTGCGGCATTTCATCTTGGACGGGATTTGACTGATCGTTAGTGATCTCTTTGGAGGTGACCAACTTGGGTGGGTTAATATAAGACATAAATTTTCTTTTCCTGGAAGGGATGTTTTTCGAATTTGTTGAGCTGTTTTTACCATCTACATTAGCAATATTTATAGTATTAGTAAAATGGTTAAGAATCAAATTGGAATCCTGAGAGTTCTTGAGGAAGTCCTCTACATTGCTGTCATCAATTTCGAGATTTTCCCCATAATTATGGTTATTTATATTTGTTTTCAGAAAATCATAGTTGTTTATATTTCTTTTAAGTAAACTATAAAAGTTTTCAAAGTTTTGAATGTTGCAGTAGAAAAAGCTGCTAATATTGTCTACGGCCACAACCTCTGCTTCGTACACATCAAATTGGCATTTATTTTGCGAACTCAGTTTTTTTCCTAACTTTATGTATGCATTTCCAAATTTAACGTCATAATCTATGTTCTTTACGAACTCTAAATATCGCTTAAATGAACTACAAGCTTCGGGTAATTTTTCCATGTGGGATTCATCCACACTGCTAGTAGCTTTGGAACTTATGATGTTCTCATTGGTCAATTTACCCTTTTTGGTGATATTCCCGCTATGGGGTGTTCCTGCATTGTCTGCATCTTCCTTCTTGTTGTCTACATTATTTTCTTCATTGCTCTTAGCAAATCTGTTGTTTTTTTTTTTCCTCCCTTTAGCGCACTTAGAATTAAGCATATTTTTTTTTTGAATATTTTTATGCTTATAACTAATCTTTTTTTTTTCTGTTTTTTTTTTCTTGCTTTTTTTCTTTTTTCTGGTAGTGTTGCAGGTATTGTGTTTATTGCAGCCTCTTCTGTTTTGGTCGTTTCCCTCCTGTTCGTTATCGTCGTCTTTGTTGTTGTCATGGTTGCTGTTGTCGCCATTTGTTCTGCCGCTTCGGCCATTGTTGTTGTTCTTATTGTTGTTCTTGTTGTCGGCCCCCCTCTTTTTGCAACCCTCATTGCTCTCCTTGTCCCCCTGATTGTCTGTGCCTTCTTCGTTACTACTTCGGTTGTTTCCGCCTTCGTTATCGCCATTGTCCTTGTCGCACCCTTCGATGCAGCAGCCTTGATTGTGACTCTCCTCGTTCTCGCTAGCGTCGACTCTGATACCACACATGCAAAAGATGTTCGTAACTTGGTTAACATTATTGCACTTTCTGTAGTCATTCAGTGCACGGCTTTTATTTAAAACATGCGAGTTTGCGTTTGGCAAATCACGGTTCGAATTCGATGGGAGCATTCCTTTACCCATTTCGTCGTTTAAAGCATTATTGGAAAGGCACTGTTCGTCAAAGAAAGATGCGTTTAAATAATTGTTAGAACTGTGTCCTCCATGTGTATTATGAATGTTCGGGTCCTTTTTCATATTCGAAATTCCCTCAAATGAGTTGCCAATACTGTTGGTATGGTAATAATGTTCATTTTTTCTCACGCTTCTGCTTTTGCACATTGTACACAATATATTTTGTTTGTTCACATTGTTATTATTAATAGTATACACATCGTTGGGGATAATATAATAATTTGGTTGTCCATTTTTTTGATGAGGTTGGGTGTACGTGTGGGTGCAGTTGATTTCTTTGTTTCTGTCGACGGTTCTGCTGAAATTGTTGTTACTCTTGTTGTTGAAAAAGACGTTGAAGTAGTAGCTGATGTCTTTTTTTTCTTTCTGGTGGAGTTCTTCCCTTTTAACAAAAATTATATTGCCGTATTTGGGAACGTCGTTATTTCTTCCTATAAAATGGTTGCTGCTGAGGTCCAGGCCTTTAAGATAAAGAGAATAGCACCTATGGCAACTTTTATTATGAGAGGTGTTGTTATGCAGAAAGAAGTTGTAACAGTAGCCGTTTTTGTCGTAGTCGCTATGATGGTAACAATTCTGGTGGTATCCTCTATGGGGAATGCTGCTATGGAAGTAGCTGTCACAGTTGCTGCGGCAATGTCTATTGCACCCATTTTCGAAACCGTAGTTCCCACATACGTGCATATACACTGCTCGATGTATAAAACAGTTCGGATTCCTATGCAACCTTATTTGCGGTCTATTGTGGCAGTAACTCATATGGTTCACATTATGGTGTAAAATATTTTGACATGTGGTGCAAAAGATTATATGATACCTAAGTCGCTCTATGGAACGCTTTAACTGATCCCTAATAATGATTATGAGCGTATTGGAGTCATTTCCGACATGTCTATTATTGATGCAATCTTTGACATTTGTGTGTGTGTAGCTCCACGTGTAGTGCATTTTGTTCTCTATTTGGTCAGTCGTCCTAACCACGTTGTTGTGAATTTTCGTTAAGCATACTTTTCCTATGTAGTAATGGTCACTACTGATAGGGTTCCTTTCGTGTATATTTCTTCTGCTATCATTCGGTTTATGTGTGTGAATGGTTGGCTTGTCATTGTTGCTACCACAACGTTTTTGTTGACTGCCTCTTCGGAGCATGATGTGTAGCGCTAATTTTCTCTTCAATTGGACTTTTAAATATTGAGAGTGTATATCTTGTGGTTGGTCCAGCATCCGTGTGTTGAAATTATTCGATTTGTACCTTTGTGTATGATCACTTGTGCATGCTCTCTTTGCCGTTTCTTCACATTTAATCGTGCAGTTGGGGTTGTAGATAACATGGTTTTTGTGTTGTCTTGCACGGAGTCTTATTCCTATGTGTATTCGATTTTTATGGCTTCCTTCGTGTGTACTACCACAGGAGCTTCTATTGGAACTGCTACAGACACTACTTGCATTGCGATGTGAGGGTCCGTGAAAGCTAGACGCCTGCCCCATTCGAGCATATGCTAATTCAACAACATCGCGTTTGAGGAAACCAGTAAGTGTGTGCATAACATGTATGTGCAAGAAATGTTTTCTGCATTCTGATGCACCCGCGCTGGGCTTCTTTAACGTATGCCTCCTCTTGCAAATATTCGCATATTTTGTTTTGGTATCATATGGAGCAGCAAAGTAGTGGCAAAAATAGAGAATTAGCTTCTTCATTGCGTAATACAGTGTACTATGATAATTTGAAGAACTGCATGGGCTATTCTGATGATGAGGGCACACTTCGTTTTGATGTACACATTCATGCGACTTTTCCGTCTGCCCTTTTTTATTCTTGAAATGTTGCAAATAAGCTGACAAATAGGTTTGCACTTCATATTTGATATCTTCGAGTTTCAGATCAGACAACCAGCTTACAAAATCTTTTTCACAATACTTTTCTTGCTTACTACAACGCTTGCTACAAATACGGTGGAAAAAATGTTTGCGCTGGTATTTCACAACACCATGTCGATCTCCAAAGTAATAGAGTAATAGACTTATTTTTTCTTTCGTACGTAGCAGAATTTTTTTCTTTTTATAATGATAAGTGATGATGTGTTCACATAGATCAAGAAAAAAAATAGCATAATTGATGATATTCTGATATTGTGTAACGAAGATTTTGTACTTTCTGAAAAATAAGGGTTTTGGGAAGGGTAATTTGTTTCTCACTGTGGTAGAGATGGAGATTGAATTGGACACAGCTCGAAAGATGGCGAATGCTGACTTGCTGTTTTGGAAGAATGAATAGCCCATTCCTATGATGCAATTTTCTAAGTAATTTTGTACGCACAAAAATGACTGCTGATGAGTTATATTATAGAAGCTACTCATAATTGCATTGTGAAATATAACATCGCAATGACGCGCTAAATAAACTGCTTGGTACAATTCGTAGTAAATATTATTTCGTATGCATTGATGGGTGTCTCCTTGCATGCAATGTGGTATGCTTATTATCCTTGCAATTACGATTCGACATGTGCCATGGTACTTTTTCTTGGTGCAAATTAGCAATTCTATAATGCTGCCTTGTACGTTATATGTCTTGCACAAAATTGTTGAACCTGCTAAGGATATAAAACACCTGTTCGTCCTTATGTGTGGGACAGTACTGCTCAAGTGGTTTAGGAAGTGCACTACGTTTGTGATGATTTTTGATTTTTCTTTGTTATTCTTATTTTTTCTTCTGTTGATTATGTTTTTGTTTTGTATTTTATTTTTGTGTTTCTTTTGGTTTACGTCAGGAATACCTCTCAACTTGATGTTGCAGTTCATGGTGGCAACATTATAATTCAGGGGACAGCTCTCAACAGAAAGGACACACGACAACGGGATTTCTTGGCATGCTTTCATGCATTTGTCATGATAATTCATGTCTACATTATTCACATCCATGATGACTTGAAGTACTACGATGAATGGCTCCTTATTAGGTCGCCTCCGTCTCACATCATTTGTTTTATTTCTTTTGTGAAATGAAGCACTTGATTGTGCGTTCCCTGAGGTAATGGACCCCTTTTGACCTAGAACATTTGCATTACCTTTTCTTTCTGTGCATGCAAAGTATTTCATGTTGACAACCTGCTTTTTAATGAGAACAGCTAACCTTCTTCCTTCATCCCTTTTTCTGCAACTAGGGTTATATTCTATACACATGGCGTATAGAGAATTTCCCCTAGCATACTTTTCAGTGATGTCTAATATATCCACAGAGCAATTTCCCTCTTTGGGAGCCCTGCCCTTACTGATTCTACGTAGACACTTCTGTGCAGTGGTAGATTGTATGTTTTGCTTAAAAGACTTAAAAAAATGTTCACAAGCTTTCTTGAGATGAACTGTAGTGTTTTTTGAAGCTAGGAAATTTTCTACAGTGTTTAGGAAATTTTTTTTCTCGAATGAGTGTACATTCTTTCTTATTTTTCTCTCCTTGATGAATCCCCCTGTAGCCTTTTTCCAGTAGTTGCTACGGAGCAGCTGTTCGCATTTCTCCTTGTTTACAATTATATTTCCTTTAAAACTATTTTTAATGGATAAGTATTGGTGCTTTCTCTTCGATCGATTTTCCTGCTTTGTTATTTTTTTTTTCCCCTTTATTTTGCTTATGTTTTTGTTAAGTGTACCTTTTAGCAGTTGGGCCCTGCAGGAATTCGATTCGTGTTTGTACTTACCACAGTGCCTATCCCTGTTGTGCAAACCGGTGGTGAGTTTATTTCCTGCTCTTGGTATGCCCTCATCTTGGACTTCATCTTCTCCTTTATTTTGAGTGCTTTGTGTGCTTTGCATATTCAGCTGGATTTGCTTTTCTCTGGTACACAGGGAACGCACATTAGTGCTGCAGCATGATACCTCCTGCTCTAGATAGTTTTCCTTGCACGTTTTATTAGTATACATCAAAATGTCCGAAGTACATGAGTTCCTCAAAAGGAACACTCCCTCATTATCACTATTGAGCACTGATTCTACATTATGAGGCTTAAGGTTAAAATGGCTTGTTTTCAGGTACGTTAGATAAATCATTTTCTTTTTTTGGAGCAGGATGTACAAGGCAAAGGCATATTTATGCAATTTTAATAATACATTAAGTGTGTACCTATGCACCACAGCAAATGTAAGTCTGTGTTCATGTAAATTTAACGCTTGAGGTAATTTAGACAATTTGGGCAATTAATGGTATGTCTTGTACGTATATATTAGCAAACTTGTTCACTTCATAAAAACAAAAGCACGCATCGCCAGCTTCAAGCAGTTACGAACATAAATCGAGAGTTAAAACTGGACTGAATAACTTAAATTCGAAAGTATTCGCTTATCTTCTCGTGCACATGTCAATACGTGAAAGGTAAGGATACAAGGGTGTACCATTGAGGAAGTAAAATTAGAGGAGGAAAGGTATGGAGATGATAATTTCGAAAGAAAATTTTAGGAACAACAGTTTGGTTGCAGTAACATGGAAGCAATAACTTGGCAGTAAGCATGTATAAATACAATAGGAAAAAATAAATAAAATAATTGGGATTTACAAATTTCAGAATTTCATTAGAAATAAGAAAAAAGGTGTATACACGAATGTGAACAAACAAGAGGCAGAGCACAAAAATGCGCACAGATAAATATGCTAAAAATATGTACAGGCGAACATTCATAAAAATGCGTACGTGTACTAAAAACAAAAAAAAGGACGTATCTGAAATTAATAGCATATTAATTTCCTACCCTTGAATGTGAATAGGTGACGTTTTCCTATGTAATGAAATTCTATAGGTTGTACTAGCAAATGGTTTTGTCTTATCGTTATATTTTATTTAATTAATCATGTCGTACTATAAAAAAAAAAAAAAAAAGGACAAAAAGTTGCACTACACAAGAGTACAATAATGTACAATAGGATACAATAATGTAGTTCAAAATAGCACAAACAGGTTATATTAAATATACTCCTTTTATTACCTACACTCTTTAATGGCTTCTGTTTTATAAAAACAAAATAAGAAATTGGAGAAAACACGTGCATGTGTGTTATTTGCGACATGTGGTGTCTTTTGTCAATTTTATGCTTTGTAAAATATGTCGAGATGTTTTCGGGGAGATGTATCAATGGTCGCTCATTCAAAACGAATGTGTATCTTACTGGTATTTTTTCATGCAGTGCGCCAAACGTATGCAATGTACGTATGCATGAATATATTTGTGTACACCTGTGCTTATGTACGCAATGCATGTAGGTACCCCTCACACATTAACACAGCACGTGTGTGCAAGCATGTACATAATATGCCATACGTGACAAGTGCTACGAACATATAAAAATGGAGAAAAATTCACAAAGGTTTGATAAACGCGAGAACAAAAAAAAATGTCGAAAAAATCGCGATAAAAGGGAACAAAAGAAAAAAAGAAAAACAATTTCCATATTTAGGCAAACTAAACAGAGAAGAATACTCAGTCATGTATGCCTAAATATAAATGTTTTTCTTTTCTCACTAAAAAAAAAAAAAAAAAAGAAATATAAAAATTCATAAGGAAATAAAACAACCAACATGGAAATTTTATACGTACGTAGAGACGACAGTGTATCATGGTATGTGTACACATCTCTCAAGCATAAAAATGGGATTACTTTTCAAAATAGGAAAAAAAATTATCTGTTCTAACTGCTTTTTGGAAAAAGAAATATTTCTAAAATGCGAGAGCAGAAATCTACAGAAAAATCAAAAAAGGACTGTTCAAAAATGTACCAAAAAAAGCATACACAAGGGTATATAAACATATACAAATATATACATATATATGTGTACGCGTGTAACATACGGTGAACATATAACTGTGCTTAATCATAGTTAATTATAAAGGGAGAGGTATGCACATTCAATCAAACCAATGAAGACATAATAAGAACGAAAAAAATGGAAGTTTAGGATGGAGAAAAGAAAAAAAAAAAAAAAAAATGCACATCATCATCGATACTCGTATTAATTTACAATCTCGTTTGTCACATTTTTTTTCATTTGTAACGAAAATAAATTGTATAATTTTGTTCTAAATTAAATATATATAATAAATAAATGACAAAATGTACATAAAAATTTTGAGCAAACTTAATGAGGGATTTATTTACATTTGGGAAAAAAAGGAAAACACACACAAAAAAAAAAATACATATATATCATATACTCGCAAAATGTATTCATAACCGAATAATAATTTTCGTCAATTTTAAGTTCGGGCGGAATTACACAAATATATCTATTCATGCCTTCAATATGCGCATATACATGTATGTACGCACATATATATGTTTTTTTTTTTTTTTTTTTGTGCTTGTGTAAGGTCGTATAACATTGCCAAAGCGAGCCCTATCTCTTGTACAGTTCGTTTACAGAATTATGCTTTAGTTTTGTTTTTGCATTGTTCTACGTTCCCTTTTTTGTTTTTGTGTATATTTTCATTTTCTTTTTTTTTGCTCTGTTGTTTTGTATTTATTTTAGCGGATTTGTTTCCATTTGTTAGTTATGCTTTTACTTGTTGATCATGCTTTTATTTGTTGGTTACATTTTTATTTGTTTGTTCTTTTTTTCACTTGGTTTTTGTTCATTTCGTTCCTTTCACTTCACTTCGGTTATTGTTATTTGTTCCTTTCGCGAAACAATTGTAAAATAACCTTCAGAAGGAAAATAAAGAAATACAAAAAAAAACAAAAAAAAAAAAAAAAAAAGCAAAGCACACAAGTGAGGTTTATGCGGAAACGTAATGTAAAATGGCATTGTTGCTTTCTTTTCGTGGTGCATATGCACTAGCAATAGTACGCATTATATTTTTAATCCCTGCCGTAGTTCACATGTATGCCCGTGTATACACAAGTATGCGCATATGCACATTAAAATGTGCGCATTTAATCAAGCACACATGTTTTGGATTAACACGTATGGAAAATACATGCATGTGTATGTATTATGGAATGTATGTGGATATAATATATATATTACCTTATGAGCACATATTTCCATCCTAGGACATGGTTGACAATGTATGCCTTTTTAATGACAATATAAATCCTAGAATGATGATAAGTTTTGTTTTTACCTTGCTTTAAAAGAACAAACACGAAATGCCATTTCGCAGTAGGACATCCAAACGTGATACACTTACAAGTTATGAAAAGGGAAATAAATATAAAATTTAAATCAAAGGGTTAAGCACTAAAATTCGAACACGAAATGAGATATAAAACTAACTGCTTAACATTACTGAATTTATAATATTATCAAATTACACCCTTTCGACTTTTTCTTTTTGTTAAGTGTGCTTATTATGTTGCCATCATTTACCAAAAACTGAGTTTGACTTGTTACAAGGGAGTGAAGAAAAAAAAGCGCGTAAAAAGGGGAAAGAAGGTCAATTACGCATTTGTTTATAAATGTGTCATTTTTATTGAATGGCGCTGAAATAAAATACGTACAACTACAAATAGGCGCCATTAGTTTTGGAGGAAAAAATCGCAAAGGAACGTATAAGCAAAAGTATGTACAACAAACACGCGCACACGTGTAAGCAAACATACATGCGCGCCTCCAAGTGGTATATAGCTTGTAATTTCCTCTCAATTGTTTTAATGAACACATTTTGGTAATTTTCATGTGGTAATACTGCTTATTTCGACAAAAAAAAAAAAAAAGTTATTTCTCTACCGCCTTGCAAGGAATAAGTTCATACAGCGTATTAAGGCATATATGCACTACCGTAACTGAGAAATGTTCGCACCATTTGGTTACACCCTGGGTAGCTTCCTTTTTTATGTCTTCATGTGAACAACTCTTGTTAGAACGAACTGAAATATATTGTGCATAAAAGAGAAGTTATGTCAATCTGGAAAATGTAACCATAGGAATATGTTAAAATACATATATATGCAACTTACAGTGGTTGGTTATTTATTGACAGTTAATCGGCTTACACTTAATTGTTAATTCGGTTGTGGGACATGTGATCAATGCAGCTTCAATTATGCACAACTACTGAAGGAGTGTATACTAATATAGGGATGTTTTTTTTGTTTTTCGTATTACTTTACACTATATTGTCCACATGCCTATAACCACCAAATTTAAGTGTAGTATATGGTAGTTCAATTTCTTATTTCCATACCCAGGAGAACCCAACTGTTGCCGCCAACAAATAACACATCCGATTGTTACACCGTTCATAGGGAATTTTAAAAGCAACATTAACCTTTTTGTCGAATTATTTTTAAGTGAACATACACGCAAGCATTTTTCACAAGCACAGTAGTGACATATAATCCTTAAAGGAAGTGTATTTTTTGTTGCGTGCATTTTAAAAGAATGTTCACTGGTTGCGGAAAAGAACAAAATGTTCATCGCGTGCTTATACAAATGTGACGCATGCCCCTCCCGTACAGCAACACAAATATATTAAAAAAAAATACATACATTCATACATTAAATGTTTTTATATTAAAGTACATTTTTACATGTGTGTGTAGCAAAACGTGTTGTTCGATTTGACCTTTTGTATGCACGTTGCCTGGCCTCCTTACGTTTGCAAAATTTGTTAGCAATATAAAGTGCTACGCGCACATGGATTGGCGTGTAGCATATGGTGCAATTTTATACTTATTTGTTTTTTTTATTTCTCTGTTACTACAGAAATATTGATGTGATGGTTACTAAGCTGATCAACATTGACAGGGAAAAAAACATAAACATTTGTGAATAGTTTTCATAACGTTTATAATGCCGCCATATGTATATACATGTATGGAAAAAAAAAATAAGTTTAATTTTTTTCTTGTATATTTTACACAAAATTGTTCTTATTTTATTTATTTTTTTTTTTATATTCCGCCCTTTTGTTTTTCTTTGAAAATTTTGATGTAACTTAAGAAATATATATATATTTTTGTATCGTTTCTTATTAACCCAAATCATAAGAATATATCATCGACATTACATTTCAAAATATAAAGAAAAAAATGCGTTTTGTAAGAAAATAAGAAAATTGCATAAAAAAGCAAATTTATAAACAAAATTTCATGTGGCTTAAACACATTAATACGTGCGAATACATTCAGTTATCACAACACTGTGACGCATACTGCTTAATCGAATTAAGAAACCATCACCTCAAAGGACGAAAACCATTAGAAGAAAATTATGTCAAATAAAAAAAGAACTATTTTAAAAGTTATCATTCTTGGGGATAGTGGGTAAACAATTAAAAAATCTAGAAAACGTCCACATTACAACAGCCGCGTTAAATTTAGGGGGATGCGGGGAACATTTGTACATAGGTATATATGCAAACGTATACGTGTGTGCATATATTTTGGTGAAAAACAAAAAAACATGTTAAGTGGACACCCATGTGGATAGACTAAAAGATGCAACAAATGATAAAAGACAAACACAAAAGAAACACGAAACGACTGAAGCAGTGAAACAACGTGCTAATAAAAGCGAGATCAACAATATGCAATTTTTTACGTTACACTACGTTATGCGTATATATGTGTAATACACCGCAGTGATGCTAAAGTGACTATAAAATATCGATACATCAATATGGAAAGAAGTTGTACTAATTCTTGAGGACTGTCACTTGTGTTCTCCCATCTGATGTTTGTTAATGTTGCCTGCCAGGTGTAGAAGCACATGTCTAGCACTGAGCATTTGTATATATAAAAATGAGGCTCAAAAGTTTTATTGAACAATAAGGATACATCAAGTTCTTAGCGCTATTTGGTTCAAGTGCATTATTATATTAAGTAGAAATGAAAATGCGCGCATGGGCTATACACCAAATAATTCGATCCAGATGGGCGTATGAATAGTCGAATTAACCTGAAGTAACACATACGCTAAACAAACAAATGGATCCCAAAATGTTACATATGGGTTTTACACTTTAAGAGATAATCAAATATGAAAACGTTAAATATAGAATAATACCCTATAAAAAAAAGGCTAACATTTTTTATATTCAATAAATAAATTTAGTTTATTTTATGCACACCTGCTAACCCTAAATTTAATGCGAGCTGTTTGACGTTGCCATTTATTTAGAACATGAATTAAGTTGTTTTGGGGAAATTATTACACCTTTTCAATTTTTGCTACTTCTTTGTGGTAATAACCTTTTCCGTATTTATTTTGTCCCTTTTTTTTTTTTTTTTTTCAGTGTTGGAAAGACATCATTAATGAATCAATATGTAAATAAAAAATTTACGAATCAGTACAAGGCGACAAGTAATTAGATGAGCTAAAATATTTTGAAGAATTATTCTGTGAATCTTTTTTTTTTTTTAATTTGTGCTATATTTATGTAATTTTTTTGTTTTTCCCCATGTTAGTTGGAGCCGATTTTTTAACGAAAGAAACCATAGTTGACAATGAACACCTAACAATGCAAGTAAAATTAAAAGGAGAGAAAAATTGCTAATAAGGCTTATGCAATATGTGCTTGTGTCTAGTTGCTTTGTTCAGATGTAGCATTTTTGTTTTCTTTTTTCCGAGATACAGCATGCATTATGCACATTTATATGAGAGTACATGCACGCTATTATACATATATGTACATGTATATATGATTATGTGTTGAATTCTAATTCGAGTAACGTGTCTACCCACTTTCTCCCCAGATATGGGACACGGCAGGACAAGAGCGCTTTCAAAGCCTGGGGGTAGCTTTTTACAGAGGGGCCGATTGCTGTGTGTTAGTTTTTGACTTAACGAATTACAAAACATATGAATCATTGGAGTCGTGGAAGGACGAATTTCTGATTCAGGTAACGAATAGAGCGAGAAAGGGGTAATGTAGAGCTGTATATAAACGGGTGTATATATATGTATATATATATGTGTATGTGGCTACAATAATGGACACCCGAATGCTGTTTAGTTTTTCGCGAACTTGTTTTTCCGTGTAGGCCAGTCCAAAGGATCCAGACAATTTCCCCTTCGTCATAATTGGAAATAAAGTTGACGAGACGAATAAGAGAAAGGTAATTGATAGCAGGTGCGAATAATAACTTTTGTGTATTGACAGCATGATCGTATGTTTAAATATACGCATGACTGGTTGCGATTTTAGAAATGTGTGCATTCGTTTGACCTTTCGTTCATTCGTTTCATCCTTCCAGGTTCAATCGCTTAAAGTTCTGCAATGGTGCAAATCGAACAACAATATTCCCTATTTTGAGACGAGCGCAAAAAACGCAATTAATGTGGATCAGGCATTTGACGAAATTGCTAGAAAGGCCATGAAACAAGAAAACCAGGAGGAGCAAATGTAAGGGAACAAACTGGCATAAAAAGGGCAACGTATAATAATGTGTCCATTTATGGTTATATGGAGCCCATGGAAAAATTGTTCCTTGGAACGTTGCAAATGTGTCTTGAACCATGCCACTTTGCCCAATGGAACGTTAATGATCCCCCACATTTGCCGTATATGAATGGTAAGTAAAACATTATGTGCAATTTTTCCACGTTTTATTGTTTTCAGATATCTGCCTGAGACATTTGCCCTGAACAACCAGGGTGATCAAAAAATATACAAAAGTCGTTGTTGCTAAGAGTTGCCAAGAATGTGGACATGGATAACATAATTTTGTTTTTTGTTCATTGGTTTATGACCTCCATAAAATTTTGTGGTTGATTTATGTACATATAGAAATGTATGTGTATATGTATGTACAAACATACACTAGTATGCGCACGACGTTTTTCCAAGCGAATAGTATTTCCCCATTTTCGCATTGCTCGGTGCATCTTTCACGTACATGTTCAAAGAACATGTATGTTTTAACCATATGGTGTTTAAGGGTGGACGTGCGCATGGATGGACCTGTTTGTTCATACATAAAAATGTATTTATTATGACAAAAAGTTTGCATATTATTGAGTGAACACCCAATGCAGGGTGGAAAAAGAGCATGCTTATATTTTGCTGTACATACGGTATATGTATGTAGTAGGAAAATATACCATTTGAGTAATTTTATGATATAGTGTATGTATACTTTATCCACTTTTATGTATAATCCTTCATGCAACCTTTTGCATATCTGTATACAGCTGTGCTTATGCATGTGGACGGGTCATGTCTACATTTCGTTACTCTTTTTTTTTTTTTTTTTTACCAAAATGTAGTTAACCTTTTTTACCTTTTTTTTTATCCCACATGTTCATAATTTTAAAGAACTTTTTATACTGAGCTATGAATACCGTATGTGTACGTCTTAAAAATTAGGAACAACCAATTGGTGTGCAAAGGGAAAAGTAGCCATAAAGGCATAAAGACATCAATACATAAATGCATAGTTTCTAGTGCTATGTGAACATTCATCCTTTTCTTTTTTTTTTTAGCGCAGATTGTTCTACGATTATATCTTTGGTTTTGTTGATGAAATGCTTTTACTTTGTTTAATGGGAAAAACGCTACATAGTGGGGGCGGCGTTGTGTTATTCTTTTTTACTCTGTCATATCCTTTAGCATAAAAGAATTCTTCATTTTTTCATACACGGGGATTTTTTTTTTTTTTGTCGTCTATTTTCGCGTCCTTATTTTATGTAAATATGTGTTAATTTTAAAGGTAAACCAAAAAAGGCGTCTACTTGCTTTAGCCCCACGTTATGAAAAAGATTTGGTACATTGGTCACTGCGTAACTAAGAAACCTTTTTTCTGCTGTGCGTGTGCTAATTATTTTTATATGAACTGAATGCATGTTGTATTTATTTGGAACCTTTGGTTAATTCTTTTTTTTTTTTTTTTTTTGTCTTAAGGTAGTGTAGTTATGTTGTAGGACTTTTATTAATTTTCAGAGCATTAAAAATTCTTTGGCAACTCTCTTTTAACATATATTTTTTCGTTTTTTATTTTGCTGCATGGTTGCAGTAACAGCATTGTTTAATTTGTTTATTAAAATGGGTTTTATAATAGGAATGTATTGGCAAAAAAAAAAAAAAAAAAAAAAAAAACAAGGGCTCCCACTATTTACGTATGGGCATATGAAAAAATTCCGTTTTGTTTTCTTGTAGGCACCGAACACGTTTACCGCATATTTATAAAAAAACAACTGCAGTGTTAATGTACCGTTTTTTTTTTACATTATAAGGAATAATGAAACCATCCCACGTTCATCTATTTTGCAAAAAATTGCTATATATTTATCTTAAAAAAGGCTTTGATGAAATACGCATAATCTTTTTTGTTACGAAACGTTGCTTATTATGTGGAATAAAGCATATATTGTTAGGCCATATATTTCGTACAAAAAAAAGTGCATATTGTTTATATATTACTGTTTGGTATAAACAGTTTATATAAAATGTTGATGAGAAAAACATGATTTTTTGATGACAAAATTGTTATGGTATAATTTTGTATATTTTATAAAACACGATTTTGCGAAAATTGTAAAAATATACAGGATGCCTGCAATCTGTTGACCGTTCGAAGTTTTTTCGAGTTTTATGGTACTTGCATATATTCAATGACATGCATATGAAGATATACCCAACAATTTTATGCATACGTATTTAATTAGCATAAATATACGTACGCGCGCATACATATGGGTATGTTATGTTTATATGATAACAGGCCACTTTAAGAAAAAAATTTTTTCAAGCGGAAATATTGTTTTCAGTAAAACATTTGAGTAAACCTTTTTCGTGAAAACCCAATAAAATGCGCATTGCGTTTAAGCCGTACAGGTACATTTGTGTAAATTTTATTTGTATTATTTAAGACAGAGAATGTAATTCTTTCAAAATTTGCGAAGAATAATTTAAAAAACAGTAAAATGCATAAATATGTTATGTAAAGTACGTTATATTTGCGCATACTTCATTTGTATGTTTCTTTTTTTATCGTAATAATACACAATATAGTGTTATTTATGTGTATATGTGTATATATGTGCAAACCCGCGTATGTATCCACGTATGTGCCCTAGTATATATACTAGCATTCACCCGTGCATGTCCACATGTAAGACGCAGAGTCCCTTCCTGTATGAAGCATATATGTAACAGAATTGTTAATAGTAAATGTAAATAAAAGTTTAACAAGACAAGAGAAACCGAGTTAAACAGTAATTTAATAAGGACACCAGAAAAAAAAAAAAAAAAATGGACGAAACAGAGACGACGGTGCCAGATTTGTTAAAAAAAATAATCAACACGCATAATTACTATATTGATAAGACAACGCTATATGTAAAAACAAGATGGTTTGGTTTATTGGGGTTATTTAGTTTGTACGTTCTTAGGGTATATTACGTGACGGGATTTTATGTAGTGTCATATGCGTTATCCATTTTTTTACTAAACTTGTTTTTGCGTTTTTTAACCCCTCACAATATAGAAGAAATATATGAGCAGTATGAAAATGAAAATAACGGTTTATTACTCCCCATGAAACAAACGACTGAACGAAAAAATGAGAACAATCCTGATGATAAGAAAGAGTTTAGGCCATTTTTAAGAAAACTGAACGAATTCAAATTTTGGCTGTATGCCAGTAGAGCTATTTTGATATCAATATTTTGTACCTTTTTTCCATTTCTGGACATACCTGTATTTTGGCCCCTATTACTTTTTTACTTCATATGTTTATTCTTTGCAACTATGAAGCAGCAGATAAAAAATATGATCAAGTTTAAGTATTTGCCGTTTAACACAGGTAAAGCTGCTTTTTAAATTTGCAACAAAATTTTACCCCTGCTGCAGTGCTTTGGGGCGCTATCTCTGTGTGAATAAGCACGCAGTGCGCACATTTGTACATATATATTTGTAAGTACACGTTTATGTGTTTCTCATTTCCCTTCCCCCTCATAGCTACCAAGCAGACGTACGGTTCTGTGGCTCGCGGAAATAAAATTAGCAGATAGGGTACCAAATGCATCTAGTCTAGATTCCTCCTTTTTTTCAGAATATATCATTTTTGTGTAATTATTACATAGCTGCTACGCAGCCTTTATATATGTACTTATATGTATATATATGTTTTTTTTTTTTTTTTTTTTTTTTTAATTGCAATCGTATTTTTAAAAGAATATTAATACAAAACAAAACTATTGTACCTATTCATTTAATGTTTGTTAAAATATTTTCGCCCTTTTTGTTTCAATTTACTTTACACTAATTTTTTATCATTTTGTAAATTCAATCTTTTAAATATTAAAAACTTGAATCAACAAATGAAATTTTGGTCTTAATGACAATTTCATAGCAGCATATGTTGGGTGGTACCCTTTTGTGTTAGCTTAATTTACCTGTTAATTTTGTTGCTGTCTATAGCTGCGATAATTTCACAGCTGTCATAATTTCTTGAAGTAATTATGGAACATTTGTAGTGCCCCAACATGTAAGCCAACGAGAATATGTTATTCATGATTGCTTTCTTTTTTTGTTTTTTTTTTTTTTTTTTTTTTTATTCGAAACTTACGAAAAGGGGCAAATGCTCCATGATGACACATTAACAAAGGAATGGAAAAAAAAAGAAATAAATACCAGATTAACAGTTTCAGTGAGGAAGATATACAACCAACGCGTAAGCCATACACGGAAACAAAGTAATTCAACCACTGCGTTCAAAAAGTGAAAAAATGATAATAAACTGACTCAGCGGAAGAGGTAGAGTCGGTCGGAGTCAGCGCTACTAGACTAGCCATGCTCATGAGCGCCCCATTTTTGCACACATTTTTACTCTTCTGCTACTTCATCCAGTTGCTCAATCATTTCAAGATCACTCGCAGAAATATCATATTCTTTCATCAATCTCTCTGTGATAATTCTTTTTCTTCTTTGCGAGACAGTTTCATTGGGTGCTAATGTGTAAACGGAGTAAAGGAAGACAAAGATGATTAACGAATTAACAACAAAACTGGTGAAGTCTTTCTTGATGCTCACAAACAGTTTTCCTCTGTTATATCCGAAAACGCTTAAATTTCTTTTTGGTTGTGAATTAATTACTTTATAATTTGGATTTGAAAAAAAATTTGACTCTTTTTCGTCTTGTCCTTTTTTGGAAAATTTATAATTTAAGGAGTTGCTACTGTTATTATCATTATTATGCGTATTATTTTTTGTGCTAAAGGATAATTTATTACAATGCTGCTCCTTCACATTGTTCCCTTTGTATGTATGACTTATGAATGTATTTTTGAATCTAGATATATTAAAGTTTCGTCTGGTGCCGAAAAGGTAATTCATTTTTGCGCGTCATCCGGGGTGTCTTCTCACACGATCGTTTGTGTGATTACGGGGGGGCTCTGTGTGTGGATTGTATTAAACGTTTGCAAAAAGAAATGTTTTACACGTTCTTTTGCATCTAAAAAATATGATTTGCGGAAATATATTCTTTATGTAGAGGCTTCTGTCACGCCATGTTTTGCCTTTCATGTTGGTCCTTCTAACAAATATAAGGGGGAGGGGCGTAAAAATGAAATCAATACTTTCACATGGTGCATCAAGTTCGCTTTCTTTTATTTCACAACCTTCCGGTATAATAATATATGTGCGGAAGAAAAAAAGATAACTGTGAAGCGCCTGTTGGGGGCAAACTTATGGGGAACAATGGATGTGGACAGAATAAAACAAAGGGGGAGTTTTTACAAATTTTCGGAGAAAAAAGGAGTTTTTTTTTTGTTTATCTATTTTTGGTTTGTACTTTTCATACAGGTGGCACCTTTTGTGCAAGCCGCTTAAGCAAAAGGGAATGGAGCACTTATTCTATTTATTTTATACATCGCTACAGAATTTTTGTTAATAGGAATATGCAACAATGGGCGATTATGTGTGGATTCATGTATTTTTATGAGTGGCCCATTTTCAGGAAATTGCTCTTAAGGGAAAATGTATCCTCCATAATCTTTATTTTAATATGTAATGATTAATTGGTTCGCTTGAAGTGAAAATTCTTCACTCTTTTTCATTTAAAAACATGTTTTCACGCCACGTAGAAAGAAAAAAAAAAAAAACTCTTTTTATGTGAATATCCCACCAACCTGTGCTAACTATAAAGATTCACGCAATATACGACAAGGCGTATCCGAGCACAGAATAGAAAAGTCCCAGCCAACAACAAAGATATATAACGTTAAAAAATGTGCACTGCATGACGCCCTTGTGAAGGGGCGTATATTTTTGTCAAAACCGTTTCCGTCATTGTCAAAATGTAAAAAAAAAAAAAAAATGCCATTCATGTAGGGGGCCTGATTTCCACCCTTTGAAGGGATATATCATCCGAATTTTTATTCATTAAAGAAAAAGGTAATTCGTTAAAGAATATTGCTTTTCACATTATATTGCAAGCTTCGTTTAAGAAGCTTTTGAATATAACAACAGCTAAAATGTTAAAACGGTGACACATGTTATGTACTTAAGAAATATGCACATTACAAGCGATGCAGTTATTTGTACTTGCACAAAAAGTGGATACATTATACCTGTAGGATTAATATACATATGCGAACACTTGTAAAAACAGCCGCATAAATATGCATAGTATACATTTAAAAACGGCAGAGCGCAGGAATTCACAAAAATTAAAAGTATTCATTGTGTAGAGTACAAAAGGGGTGGGAACATGGACGTTCGTGTGTGCACACATAAATATGCATTTGGGGATAACAGTACAGGTCTTCTTTGCCTTCACACCATTTGGCTCATACGATGTGATTATTTTGTAACCGAGTGGGTAAGTATGTATAAATTGTGCGTGTCCTCCGTTCTGTGCGTAAAAATTACACATGTTTGTCCACCGTGGGATAATTACTTTCTTGCAGTTTTTTATTTTTTCCGTTCACGACTTCTTTTTTGTATGTTGGTCTCTCCATTTGACATCTCTAACATAATCATCGACAATGAATCCCAAAGTTGAAAAGAGAAGTGTTACAATTGTCCCAGAAAGAATTGATAAGCATATTAAATTGTGTAATCTCTTTTCCTTCTCCACCTTTGTACTCAATTCTAAAATCCTTGGATCCAGGGAAACATTGGTAGATTGCTTCTGATTCGCATTCTCGCAGCTGTATGCTGCAATTAAGGCGGAGCATATAAATAAAATAAAAAGCGTTAATCTGTTGTTGAGTTCCATGGCGTAGATTTTTTCCCGGTTATTTCGTGTAAAGCGGTTTGAACCAAAATCGATGTTCTTTTTACTTGTACGTTGGATTAATTGTGCTATAATAAGTTAGGAAATTTTGCCAATACTTTTTTATGTTCACTTAATTTTGTAATTTTTTTTAAGGTGTATAATTAAATAGGGTATATGTTATTGGGAAAAACAGTTTTTGTTTTTTACATAATTTAATTTAATTAATTTAAAATATACGTGCCTGAGTAAATTTAAGGATGTGGCATACTAATTGCTTCATTTTGCATGCACATTTTTCAACAAGGACCACTTGCTTAATGCCAGATATACTGTGCTAAAGGTCAACCTGCTTTGAGCTGTGAACATGAGATTTTGAAGTTACTTCTTATTCACGTGATGTCAAAATGGTATGTAGTGCAAAATGCCATTTTACATATATAGGCGTGTATACATCTATGCCAAGAGATAGTGGTTGCATATTTATGGGTGTATATTTCACGTTCCCTTTTTCTCCTCATTTTTGAGCGCATCCACATGTATGCATTCCCCCATGAAGTGTTTATACAGGTATAAAATGCGTCTACAGAATTAAGCGCCGTGTGCACCACATGTGTTTTCAGTGGGCAAGAGACACAACATCACATGTGCATGCAAAACCACATAAAATGACATAGAAAAAAAAAAAAATTCAATTCCTTGCGACCCTTTTGTATTATTTTTGAGGAATAATTCTTTTCATGTGTTAAAATTGGAAGCATCCTTTTTTACGAAAAGAAAAATGGTGCAAGAAAATGTTCAGCAAGTCAAACTGATGATGAATTTTAGAAAAAGTTGAACCCCCGTTTGATAAAAGCATTTTTGGTTCTCCTTAATTTTAAAGCATTAATTTGTAAATGTACATATTACATATATATGACAAGGGGTGTGAATTTGTATAATTAAAGACAGCAGTTCCATTTATTACATCCAAGTGGCGCTTTGAACGGGGAAACACTTTTTTCTCCCATCATACAAGGAAGACGGTGTGAAACGTGTTTTTCTTTGTTTTCACATGTTCAACGTTTGTTTATGCAGCATTTTATAAAATGATTTCATGTACTATATGTGTCCTTATGCTTAAGCCATTGTGCATCCATGTGTGAAAGTGGGAAAGTATTAACATATGTCTATGCCTCACGTTAGGGTTGCTTGCCCCAATGAGTATAAAACAGCCTCACAGTTGGAACTGCATAAAGTAGAATGAGTCCGTTACACATTAAAATTAAATAAAACTGAATCGAAAAAGTGTGATAGAAGGAAGGTTAACAAAATATGCCCTTATAATATGCCCCCTCCTGTGGTGCGCCCATATTGATGTTCCAAAAGGTGCACAAAGGGAGATCCTTTTTTTTACGTAGGTTTAAATGGGGATATCACATTTCACATTCAACAATGTTTCCTATCCATTTGTACATTTTTCGCAAGATTTAATCTGTTACAATACGTAAAAAGTGGAAAAAATAGGAATGGGTAGGAAGGCAGAACAATAGGTATGTAATGTAACTGATTAACCATTTTGCAAAAGGGGGCACCGCGCACTTTTGCCAAGGTGTATCCGTGAAATGTGCTTTTTTGTATGTTTACATAACATTGCCTATTAATGGTAATTTAATTTGTTTTTATAGGTCACATATATAGTTGCGCAAAAATTGATACATGCCAAACGCGTAATGAACCAATTTGTACGCGCATAGAACAGAAATTGCACTTTATGGAAAAAAAGGTATATTATACATATTTTGAAATACAAAAGGGAAACAGTTCATATGTAGGAATGAACTTCAAGCTTTCCGCTACTATGGCATCCACTTTTGTTCTTCTCAGTTAACTTTTTAACCTATTAGTGCAGTACTACTAGGTCATTCTAAGAGGGTGCTTTTTTTATTTTTGTTTTAGAAGGAGGTACAATGCTCAGGTGGAAAAAGGAACTTTTTGCTTTTTGCCTTTAAATGCGGAAAGGGTTGTAAAGTGTGAATCGTTTTAGAGTTGTTCTTTGAGCAAACGTGTTATTGATGTGATCATATAGAACAAGTAATTCGTTTCACAGATACGCAAAATTACCTTTGGCGTGACAGCATATTGGATAAAAAGAAAACAATCGGATGATATAACATTAAATCTTAGATTAAATAAATTTGAGGATCATTAAAAATGTATTAAGATCTTTTTTTTATGGAAGGTGTTGCACAAATTAATTTTAGAATTGGCAACAAGTAATGCTGAACAATCTTGTTACCTAATTTGACAGATATACACCATGAAAGGGTACACATATAAGGGTACATTAGCGCACAGAGAAAAAGAAAAAAAATAAAATAATAGGTTCATTTTGATTGGCTTTTTTTATTTGTGCAGATTATATTTTATTTTAAAAAAAATATATGTGTATATTAATTTCACCTGTGTGTATAAGCACAATTTTGAGAAAAAGCACCCTACACAGCGCATCTCAATTTGATCGAACGAAGAGAAATTCTATTTTTTATGGTTCAAAATAGAATGGATATGTAGAAAGTTTTTCCCGCTGAGACCATTTTTGTTCTTGCAATGTTTGCATCATTCCCATTTGGCAGGAAGCTTTTCTTTTACCTTTAAAACGGCTTCTATTTTTTTTCTATATTTCTAACTCATTGATTCTAGAATTATTATTTCTTTGTTGTAGAACAAAGGATCTTATTTTTTTTGTTTTTTTTTTTTTTTTTTTTTTTTTTTTTTTTTTTTGCTCATGCTTAGCCGAATGTTTAGTGTAGATGTTCGGAACGTGTGCTCTAAAAAATTTTTTTGTTGTAAAAAAAAAAAAAAAAAAAGAAAAATAATAAAATATTACCCTTTAGAACCATTTTAAGTTTGATATTTTTTTACACTGTTTTGATTGTTCCTATCGAATTAACATTGTTTGAATTTTGTCATTTGGTGAGTTAAATTTTTGATCTTGCGTGCAATGTGCAAAGCCTTGCTTTGTACTAGAGAAAAACATGCAACACCATATATATATATATATTTACATTTAAGGAAGACAAATAAATTGAGAAACCGTGTAAATTTACTAACAAAATAATACGTTCATGTTAACCTTCAAAGATAAAGATAAAAAGAAAAAAAAGTGGAGTCAGTGAATCTGTTTAATCCATGAAGAGTGGTATTTACCAAGCAGCGCATCTTTACCTGCTCTACTATTTAGGTAAAACACATAAATGTATATGTGCATATGTAAATATGGATGATCGTGTAAATTTATAATTTTTCGTTATTTGTGCTGAGTTGGATTATCTATATCTTACTACTTTAGGGCTTCTTTTTCATGTAACATCTCCTACGTATGTGCTTTATGTACTTTTCCTTTGATCCCCACATTTAGGAGCAGGACACGGAGAAAATATAGTAGAAGACATATGTAAAGGCGAACGGGGAATAAACTTCTTTTCGCTTAATTCTAATTCAAAAAGAAATAAAAAGTCGAAACATAATAGGGAGAAAAAACGAAACGCGCAAAGTTCTAACTTTTTAAACCAAGAATCGTATGTTGAAGAAACAGATAACATAAGTGGCAAGGACGTCGAAGGATCACATCCGTCTCATGATTCATCGTTTGTTAACTTAAATGATCATGTCAGTAAAAAAAGTTCATCATACAGCGTTCAAGTAAAAGAACGTACACCATATAGTAGTATGCAAAGGAACAAGGAAAAGGAAAAAGTACATGAGAGAATGCATGGTGTTGTCAATTCTTTTGTACAAAGTCCAGAATGGGAAGAATCAGGCGATTGGGAGGGAACCGATAAATCTAAAGTTAATATAAGCGAAACATTGAAGGATCATATTAGGTTTAACCGAGTGTTTGATATGGAGATTGATTTTGTTGACCTACATTTTTTTAGTACAATTCAGGAGCTCATTCCAGAGAACAGTAAATACCATGAATATTATGAGAAAACACTTAAACAGGAAATTCCAAAACACATAGATACGTTAAAAAGATTAATAGAGTCATGCATATCTGAAAAGGAACAAATGGTCATATTAAAACATGAGATTAATTATGCGAAGACAAAATCTATAGAAACAGAAACGTTAAGTGAGAAGGAATCAACATTCTCAGAAATATCTAGAGCCTATGATATTCATATAGAATCGTATAGGGAAAAATTAAAGCCCCAAATAAATGATATAAAAAATAAGGCATTTTCAGTTTTGAAGGATTCCCTCTGTAAGGAGAACTGTGCGAAATATGTGCAAAGATATAATACAATGCTCAGGAATTATATATCATATGCAAAGAAGTATCAAATGGAGACGTATGTGTACTTTCGGAGGAGCATTAACGATTATAGCGTTATAGATAAAATGTTATCAGAAGCTAAGGAACTCAACATAGACATTTCAGAAAGTGCTAATTCGCTTAAATTGTTAGGAGAAGATATCAATGAATTTTCTTATTTGTACAGTATTAACCATACTTTAATTGACGATGCAGCCGAAAATTTAGAATCCATAAATGAGGAAAAGGCATCTGCCGAAATAGATGCACAAAAGTTTGAACAGAATTCCAAATTCCTAGTAAACAACTACTGCATTTTTGAATATATAAGAGAACTTAACAACCCAATTAAAAAATCATATGAAAATATAATAAAAAAATCTAATGCACTACTTTCTAGCATTATAGACACTTTCGAAAAGATTGCTACTGCGTTGTACAAGTCAACATTTGATGAGAAGAAGTGCAATAAAATTAAAACCGATGCATTTAAAGTGAAAGATGAGGCTGAACAAATATACGAAAGAAATGAAAACATATACAATAAAATTCCAGATGATGAGCATGAAAAGTTAAACATTTATTATGACCTTATCTACCCAATGAACCACTATAAAGATGAGATAGTAAGCAATTCGGAGTTCATTTCTAATAGATGTAAAAATATATACGAAAACGTAAAAAAAATGTATGAAAACCAATTGAATAATATAGAACAACTAGAAAACAGCCCATTAAAAGTAGATTTGTATGTGATGCAAATACGCAACATGAACACTCAGAAAACCACAATAGATGACAGTTTCAGAACATTGGAAAAATATTACGAAACAATATTAGAATTAAAAAGAAAAATGTATGATCTGATGATAACATTTGAAAAAAATGTTGCAAAAATAGATCGATTAGAGGTTGTGAAATATGTGCGTGCTTTAAGGGAAGAAGAGATGAAAGCTCTGTTAGAACAGATGGCGACAAAGGCGTATCACTTAAGAGAACTTGTCTCGTTAAAAGAGAAATCAAATGTGCACTTCACGCAAATGAATGAATTGCTGAACACAGGATCGTATGACAATATGGAAGAGTTTAGCCTTACTGAGAAGGTGCAAAATGATATTGATAATGTATATAATTCTGTGTATAGGGAACATATGAATGAACTCATCGAAGAAGTTGAGAATTTTGTAACCACGAATAAAGGAAGCACTGTGGAGCCTCTGCATGAAGCAGTAGAACAGAAGCTACAGGATGCCAAAGAAACTTTTGCTAAATTAGATTTTATTAGCGATAACCTGCTGACAAATGTGTACAATAAAATGAGTGCAGAAGTTGCTTATGTTGAAGTGATCAAAAAAGGAATTGCGCAAAAACAAGTAGAAAATGTTCATAAAAGATTGAAAAATTTTTTGGATTCGTTTGCTACAGTGTTTGATGCGTTGCAAAAGAAAATGAAGGATTATAATTACGAGGTTGATGCAATAGAAAAGTATAAGCAAAATATTTCCGAAAAGGAGGAGGAATATTTCAACAATGTAAATGTAGATGCAGATGTGCCAAGGGAAGAATCAAATGTGCAGGAATACACTAAACATAAGCAAAATTGTTCCAGACAGGAAGGTGAAATATCCGCCAAAATTGCCCACTTGAGGGAAGTCATGAATAACATTGAGGGCCAATTAAATTATTACGGTGTTTTTGAAAAATACTTTACCCTTATTAGCGATCAAAATGAAGTTTCAAAAGTTAAAGCTTTAAAGGAAAAGATTATTCGTGATAATTTGAGCGACAAAATAGAACAGTATGAGATAGAATTCAAAGGGAAAACCAGTGCAGTGGAAAATATCGTATCAAATATTCAAAGTTTAAATATGGCAATAGGTTCACTTAAACGTTTAAATGGTAGCATAAACAATTGCAATAAATATAATGGAGATATTGCTCTTTTGAAAAGTAAAATAAAAACTCTAAGAGATGAGGTACAAAAGGAAATTACCGAAATGGAAGGCGATAGTGTGGTGGGAGAAAATACCACTGCTTTACTTTTAACAAGTTTAAGGGATAAAATGGAAAGGATAAACGAAAAATTGAACGAGAATAGACTAAACAATTTAGACACTAAAAAAGAAGGTCTTCTGAAGTTTTACTTAGAATCGAAGTCGCAAATTCATATAACTAAGGACCAAAACAGGCCACAAGATACTTTGAATAGAATTGATGAATGGGAGGCCATCAAAAAGGAAGTAGACGAACTAAATGATAATTACGAGATTATTAGAAAAAATAAAGTTACCCTACTTAAAAATAACTCTGTTACTTATATAGAAGCAATGCATAGCCATATAGATAATGTTGTTCACAGCATAACGAGAAATAAGAATGAAATTTTGAAGTCTGTGGAAGCAATAGAAGAAAAACTGAACCTCGTTGAACAGAATGAAGATTATAAAGAGGTTAGGAATGCTGAAAATGAGAAGCAAATAGAAGCCATAAGGGGATCAATCAGTAAACTCAAGGAAATAATCAACAAACACGTAAGAGATATGACCCATCTGGAGAGCTCATCAAACATTTCAAAGATCAATGCAATGAAAAAGGAAAACGAACACCATCTGGAAAAAATAAATCAGATAAAGGGACAAATGAGGGACATTTATGAAAAGCTAAAAAACATATCAGATGAATTAAAGGAAGGACCAGTAAAAGAATTGAAGGAAACAAGTGAGAACGTAGACAAAGTGGAATTAGAATTGGAGAAGAAAAATATTGGGCACATTGTAGACCGCATAATAATAGAAAAGGACAAAGCTCGAAAGGGTGTTAATGAAATGAATTCTCTCAAAACCAAAATTGAAAACTTGATACATAAAACAAGTGATAAATCACAAAATGAATTAGTCACAACGAGTATTACAAAGCATTTAGAAAATGCAAAGGGGTATGAGGACCTAATAAAACGAAATGAAGAAGAATCAATTCTGTTGAGGGACAATGCAATAAAACTGCAGGCATTCGTTGAAGTGAAAAAACTAGTTCAGCAGGTTAACATGAATTTACAAAGTGCTATACAACGCAATGCTGGTATAAGTAAAGAGCTGAATGAACTTAAGGGCGTTAACGATTTGTTGATATCAACGAATTATAGTAGCATTTTAGCATATATAAAGAAAAATTTCAGCGAATCTGTCCGTTTTAATCAGCTAGCCAATGAGGAATTTACAAAAGCTGAAGGTGAAGAGAAAAGCGCAAGTGCCAGATTTGAGGAGGCAGAGAAGTTAAAGGGACAAATTGTCAAAGATTTGGATTACAGTGACATAGATGACAAGGTAAATAAAATTGAGGGAATCAAAAGAGAAATTTTAAGGATGGCGGATAGTGCACTTACATTTTGGGAAGAGTCAGAAAAGTATAAACAACTGTGCTCTTCATATTTGGAAAATACTAAAGAGGGCAAGAAAAAAATTGAGTATTTAAAAAATAAGGGAAGTAGAGGAAAAGCCAACATAACGGATAGGCAAATGGAGGAGGTTGATGATTATGTTAGAAAACATGAAGACGCCTTTCAAAAAGTGGTAGAGCAGGTAGACAAAACTAAAGGCTTGTATGAATCCACACTATCTTATGTAACTAAGATGGATAACCTGTTTAACGAATCTGTAATGAAAGAAGTGAAAGTGAAGTGTAAAAAACAAAATGATAAGGCGGAGCAATTATTCGATCAAATTAAAACCGTAGTTGACAGAATTAAAGTACGTGTGAGTGAGAACCAAGGAAAAATAGGAGAATTGATGGAAAAAGACAAAATTGAGAAAAAGGAATCTATGCAGCTTAACGATATGTCCAAGAAGTCGTTATTACAAATAGATAATTGCATGAAAGAGCTTGACACAGCATTATCAACCATTGAAAGGGTGAAAGAAAATGCACTTCAATATTTTGATGCGGCTAATAAATCAATGAAGTCCGTTTTGTCTATACGTGAATTGGATACCGAAAATTCCTTAGATAAAGTAACAGCGGCTAAGAAAAATTATGAGAAGAATTTGGTAACCGTTCAAAACCAATTGAGTCATATCAATATGGAAGAAGTAAATCTGAAGGACATAGCTAAAAGAATAACTGACATAGAAAATGACTTGCTAAAAATGAAAAAACAATATAAACAAGGGTTAATGCAAGCGATTAACGAAAATGCGGACAAGAGGAAACGTAATTTCGAATTAGTACGAAGAGAAATAAACGTCTTGGTCGATTCAAGAAAATCTATTTTTATTAAATTAAAATTAAAGGAATATGACATGACCGACGATTTAAAAAATTATGGTGCTAAAATGAATGCTATTCATCAAAAATTTACCAAATCGTACAATTTGATAAAGACACAATTGTCCAATGCTACAAAGTATTCTGTGATATCTAAGGAGGCGCAAAGTTTAAGGGAAGAAGCAGAGAAAGAAGATGAACATCTCAGAAAAAGAGAGGAAGAAGCGATAAGACTTCTGAATGATATTAAAAAAATGGAGTCGTCAAAGCTGTTAAATGAAATGATGAATAACGTGAATGCCGAATATGAAGGTGTGACAAGAGACCATGCGAGCATTAGTCAGTATGTAGAGGATATGAAGCAAATTGTTGATCAGCTGAAAAGATTGAATAATATAAGAGAATGTTCTACTAAGCTAAACGACATATTAAGTATAGTTAAAAAGGTTAAGGAGTCGAAACAGGCCGAGTATAAGAGAGACGCGAAAAGCATGTATGAAAGTATGCTGGCTTTGGCAAATTATTTCCTAAGCGATGATGCTAAAATTTCATCAGGGATGGAATTGAATCCGGAAATGAAATCTAATTATAAGACAGACTTAGAGTCGGAGATATTTTCGGTAGTATCAAATACTAATGGACTTTTAAAAAAAATTGAGCAGGGTTCAAATGATGTAATAAAAAAAGAAAGAGAAAGTGAACGGCTAGCTAAGGAGGCTACTGATATTTATAATGTAATAAAACAAAAAAATGAATTTAACGAAAGGTTAGTAGAAGTCAAGAACAAGGAAAAGCTCATTTGGGAAAAGATAAGGGAAGCATTAGAAAGATGGAGGCAAGTGAAAGGAATAACATGCCACTTTGAGCAGTTCTATACGTTATTAGACAATACAGAGGAGATTGCAAATTTGAACAAAATGGTTACTGTCTATCAGGATAAGAAGGACGCGCTGAAAGTATCAGTGTTTCAAGAAATGGACAACGATATGAAAAAGTATAGTAACTCCATAGCACAGTTAGAAGGAGTAGTTTTATCAGGCATGGAATCTAAAGAATACATTGCAGAATTGGGAACATCCAATGACAAAATGGGAAATATTAGTGAAAAAATAAGAACCATATATTCAAAGGTTATGGAAATGAATTCAACTATTGATGATTTGTACAAAATGGGAAAAAGTTGTCAGTCCCAGTGGATTGCCCAATTGAGACATGCTGCGAATATGAAAACCTCCAAAATATTAATAATGATTAATAAACAAAAGGAGAATGTTGAAAAGTTTGTGCAATACATTAAAAATAATTCGTATTCCACAGATAATTATGTCGAAACTTTGAAAAAGTTTTACGATAATAAGATTACATTTTGGAATGCATCCGAAAATGCGCAAAATGCAGATACATATTCCCTGAATTTCGCAGAACATGCAAAGGAATCTTTAAGAGCGATAAAGCATATAAAAGTAGAATTACATTCATTCCATGAAAACAGTGATATTAGCATTGTAGAAAGAAAACTCGAAAATATTTTGGTACTTCATAATAAGCTGAGCGACGAAAAGAGAGAAATGGATGATTTGTACATAAATATGAGTGAAACTAAGCTGATGCAAATGGAACAAAGTTCTGACGTCTTCAAGCCTGTCATAGAATTACACGAGCGAATGAATGAAACGAATTATAAGTCTTTGTTGGAGAAACAACAGAAACTAAAAAGCGTGAAAGATAATCTGCAGCATATGGAAGCTGAGCTGATTAAAAATGGCCTGCAGTACACCCCAGACAGTGTACAAAATGTTAAGAATATATACGGTGATATTGAAGCTGAAGTGAAAACATTAGAAGATGTTTACCGTGATTATAGCGATAATAACCAAAAGGTGGAAGAGTACAAGAAGCAATTTTCCATTTTAATAGACAGAACGGACACCCTTATGGATGATATCGAAATATTCAAAAAGGAAAACAATTACAATTTAATGGAAGAAAACACAGATACGATACACAGAGTAAACGACTATATAGAAAATATCACGAATAAGCTAGTAGAAACAAGAAGGGAGTATGAAAATATCCTGGAAAATAAAAAACAAAACGATGATATGCTACAGAATATTTTTCTCAAGAAAAGAAATATTATCGAATTGTTTGAAAACGTAAAGAAGGAAAAAGAATCTATATTAAATGATTTATATGAACAGGAAAGATTGCTCAAAATAGGGCAAAAATTAGATGAGATTAAGGATAAGGTGACAAAGATACTGGATAAATATGAAATTAATGAAAAAAAGGAAATGCTGTCTAAAAATCTTCTAAAGAAAAGAAGCAACATAATGAATCCTATTTCTATTTATGGGTTGGAGAGAGAAGCGAATGAAATAAATACGGATTTTAAAAAAATAAAATATGATGCTAAAGAACTTAATAATCTTTTAGAAGATACTATTAAGAAGAAGGGATATATGGAAGCGTTGTTTAATCAGATGTCTTCACACAGGAATCCCAGTGAATATAAATCTGCAGAAAAGCACATGAATGAAGCAAGTGGAATAATTCACCAATTAGAAATAAAGCTTGGAGGAATGGATCAACTAGTAAAGTATAGTGAACGCATATTATCAGAAATGAATTATAAAAAAAGTTCTATAGGAAAGCAGAAGACAGCTAAAGATTTGAGAATTAGTGAAAGAAATAGAAGTGAAAAGGAAGAAAGGGCACGTTTGCAAGGAATGAGCATGAAAAATGATCCTATGAAAATTGGAATAACCCATCCGGAAGGATCCGTGGGTGAAGGAAAACAATCCGAATTGGATGGAACAAAAGGTGTAATACACGATGCAGATGAACATAATACTGGCTCGACAAAAGGGGGACATGGATTAGAACATGAGGAAACTGCATTACCCACGGATCAAACCAAGATGAGTGACGGTACACGTTTATGGCATAACAGTACGAGACGTGATACATATGATATGCATACAGGGAAGAGCCAGGATGGTACCTATGAGGATACGTCTTCCAGTAATGGAGTAGATATTGTTTTGAATAAGAAGTTTAATTTTAATAATGTCAAATATGCAGGAGCATTTATTTTACTGCTTGCGAGCGTACTTCTAGGGGCTATTATAAGAAAGACAAAAGATGACCAAGAGAAAGATGATAATGACGAGCAAGTGGATGACTTGTTTGAGATTAAGAATAGCATGAGTATAGAAAACGAAGAAGAAATTGTTCATGTTTGTTTTGATGATTTTGATTATTAAAAAATGGAGAGTAAATTGATACGCTCTAACTTTGCGTCCCTTTTTAAAGGGGCACTAATTAAGTATATTTTCTGTGGTTGTACATATACGTCTGAGTACATACACATACGGGTGTCCATATGTGCACATGCATATAGGCATTAGTTCCCTTTTTTGTTTTTTTTTTTTTCTTTGTGCTATATTTTTAGCATTTGTTGAAAATAAAATTTATCATTTTTTTTTGTGTAAATATTGTATAACGACTATTTTCGAAAAACTATAAGTTTATATTTGAGGAAATATTAAATTGTTTGAATGACTCTTTGGTTTTCTATTACAGTATTTTTGGCTCTTAGAAGTGTTCCGGTACTTCCACTAGGAAAAACGCATAAGGTTGTGTTCTAGTTCGTATTTCTTTAATGAAATTGTATATAATGAAATATGTTAAATGAACATTGAAAAAAAGGGGGGCGTGAAATAGAACCAACAAAGGGATGTGAAATGGTAACAAATTTTTGGCAACAGGTATAGTCATGAGGGTGTTGCTTGAGTTCTCATTAAATTTTGACTAACACAGAAAAAATTGAATTTAGTGTAATAGAACATAACATGGCATGTTTATAGTGGTAAATTTGTTTTAACCGTGTTTCACTTGAATCCATACAAAGCCAATAGAGTTAATATACAGCTCCTGGTGGTAGAAAAGTGTAGAAGAGAAAAAATAATAATAATAATAAAAAATAAGGGAAAAACTCAAAATGTATTTATAATGATAAACATGAAAAGTTCATTGTGGCATCCCCGCAAACATCAATTTTTACACATATAATGCGTTTTATTATGTTTGCATTCAGAATAAAGAAAATTATATTGTTTTATTTAGCTACTTTGAAATGAAAAGATGGAAATGTTTAGTAATAGGTATATTGCAGTGTGTAAATATAATTGCGCAAAATTATGGAGGAAAAAAAAACAAAAAAAAGTAGAATTATTCATAAAGATAAAAATTACATAATCTATTATTTTACGTATTATAACGAAAAATCGACTGTGTAAAAGTGCGTTATAGAACTTTTATGTAATGAATAATTTTACTTTGATTAATGTGGTGTAAGGGTATGGGGGGCAAGAAATTTTAGAACGCTTTGTAAAAGGAACAGATTGCTATTAATTCTTGCTCATATGGAGGATTATGCGCAGTTGTAGAAATTTAATAAATTTACAGAAGGGGGAAAATAAAGGCAAACAAAAAATTTAGGCATGCGTATATATATATACACACAGAGATTAGTAAACGTGTATACATAAAGTGCATAATGATTAATCACTATCTCGCTAATTTCCACTGCAATTAAGGAACACACATAAATTGCGTAAAGGTAGATTAGCCCTATTTTTTTAGGCAACGTTTGGGGATATAGTTCACCTTGTTCTAATTAATATATGAACATTCGGGGGTGATTTTTAATTTTCTTAAATAATATTCGATTATTATTATTATTTTCCAGTGTATATTTTTTTTTTAAATATTGATTCACGAGATAACAATTCAAATAAAATTCGCCCTTAGTTTAAGGTTTTGAAGAATTTATGTTTCAAACACGTTCACAAGAAGAATCGTGTAAATTTCGCGCGATCTGTGTTTAATCCTAGTGTTTATGTTTATTGTGGTTGCAGGTAATAATGCGTTCATCTAATTGCTGATATGATGTTTTGATCTCACATGTTGCGGAACAATGCCCGCATTTGTGCATATTTTGCATGGCACACATCTATAATTTCCCTGCCACCACCACCACCACCCCCAAAAAAAAAGGTGACACTTCTTTTTTAGGAAGTACAGTGGAGTCAAGGGCACAAACAGAATAAATCTCACTTTATCGAACAGTTTATTGTACACTTATAATTTATAGTTTAGCAGCGCCGTTATGGAACAATTTTTAATTTCCAGGGTGTAATATAGAGGCTTTTTTTTTTTCTGTGCTTACCTATTTAAGCACACGCTTATCGTTTGCCTCCCTGTTCCAAGTCAAATATCATTTACAATACAAAAAGTATACATGGAGGAAACTATGTAGAGATGAAATTGCAAACGCAAATGCAACAACTTCAGGAACGTTGCATGTAAAGTTTTAAACAATGAATAGTTGTACTTAGTTGTGAAAAGCATAATGTATTGCTTTAAATTTGTAAAAAAGGGGACAGGAAGCAGGTTTCGGTTGTTCATTTTAAAATATGAAGAAACCAATATATTGGACAACCTTCTTTGGTCTATGGCTTGCATCTCTTGGTAACGGGAATATGGATACCAATGTGCGCATCTGTGTGTATGTGTAACCTGGCGCGTATACGTCTCCCGTCCTGGTAATGTTCATTTTATAGAACATCATGTTCACTCTGTCAAACTATTTTCCAATTTCCATTCACATGTAGATTTAAGTCGAGGGAAAAACACTTTGCATAATATAAAGGAACATTATAAAGAGTCGACATTTGTATCGTTCGATCCGAATTTGAACAGAAACAAAACGTTCAATCATAAGGGCGTGAGAAAAAAGACTTTTAAAAGTCTTGAACGTGACAGTGCACAGGAGTTCGATAAAGCAATTAGCAAATCCAGGGGGGAAAGTTCTACAGGAATAGTTGAATCTAGTAGTTCTTCATTTGTAACCTTAGGAAGTGCTAGTCTTAAAAATGAACTTTCTGGAAATGATGAGGGTGTAGTGCTTTTAAGAACCGAAGATGGGCTTAGTGAAACCGAAAAAGATTCAGGCATATTGCAGAAAAGTGAAAGATTTGATGTGAAGAACGAAAAATTGACATCAAACTATAAACCCGTTTTAGAAGATTATGTGAATGAGCTGATAGAATCTGATCCATATTTCTCGATGGAGATTGACTATGTTAATCTACAATCTTTAAAGGAAATTACACATCTTATTCCAGAGGGGAAAGAATACCACAAGTTCTACAATGAGGAGATGGATAAAAAAATCACACAGTACACAAATATATTAGAGGATCTGATAAAAAAGTACATTGAAGCAAAATATGAAGTGATAAGAATGAGTGCTCTCGTAAAAATTCGTAAAAAGGATGGTACAGAAATGAAGGATGAAGTTGAGAATGTAAAAAAATTAGAATTAGCAAAGGAGAAATATGAAAAGTACATGCAAGTATATAATAAGGACATAAAACCTATTGTACAAGACGTTAAAAATAAGGTATATGAGCAGTTAAAACAATCCAGCTGTACGCACACGTGCCATGCTTACCTTTCGAATTATGAGCGTGTTCTTAACAAATATATACATAGCATTGAACACACTACTGACGAGTCCCTTGTTACTGTCGCTAAAAGTATTAACGATTATAATTCTCTGGACATTGTATTAGAATATGCAGAAAGGGAGAATATAGACATAAAGGAGAATGTGTACCTTTTGAAGTTATTAGGCGAAGAAGTAACAGATCTTAACTCTGTATATGTCATTAACAGGTCGCTAATTAGTGACGCGAATAAAGTTCTGCAGGACATAAAGGAAAATGGTATATTATTTCATACGAAGGAGGATAAAATAATAAACAGTACAAAAGAATTAGTAGATAACTATTGTGTGTTTCATCATATAATGATTTTGAATATTCCAATTAAAAAACTATACGAAGAAAAGATACAAAAGTCTAACGATTTATTTTCTAAAATTATGGAGAAGTTAAAAGATGAAGCTCATAAATTAATCAATTCCCTATTTGCCGAAGAGGAAAGTAATAAAATTCTTAAGTCGTCAGAACAAATTGTCCGATATGCAGAAAAAATGCTTGAGAAAAATAAAGAAAAACTAGACTTTTTTAGGAGGTATCCAGAAATAAGAACGAATCCTTCGCTGGAAGAATTGCAATATGATTTTATTGAACAAGAAGAAACGAAGAAAGGAATATTAAGCACAGCTGAGTTAATCGACTACACATACAATAAAGTGTTCCATGTGTACAAAATTAATCATTTAAATAAATTAAACGAAATATCTCAGTTCAAGGATAGAATAACGAAGGGAAACTTACTGTTGGATGAAATATCTGAAATAAATAAGAAGTGGAATCGTCTGAAGCAAAATATTGCAACATTGAAGAATTTGCATGAGAATATGGTAAATATGAAACAGAGAATGGTTGAAATAGAAATAAATGTGGACAACCCTTCTAAGGTGCATGAATTGAAGGAAAAGGAAAGGAAGCTTTCACAATACACTGAAGAAATTAAGGAAAAAATTAAAGACATGATAAATAAAATGCATAAATTAAAGGAAATCATCGTTTTAAGAGATAAAGCCAGTCAAGATATTATAACGATTAACGAATTACTGAATGGAGGGTTGAATGTCAATCTGGATGAATACATAAATAAAAAGAACAAAGCCAATGATTATATTAATTCTATATTTAAAACATTGTACAACGAAAATGAATATGATCTTATCGACACAGTTGATGCGCTTGTTCGTGAAAACAGCAAAATTGTAGACGAAACGTTTTCTATTAAAGAAATTGACCAAGTGGAACAACATCTCCGTGAAATAAGGGTGGTTCATGCTAAATTAGACACACTGACTCACGAAAATTTGATACATGTCTATGATAAGTTAAGAGAAGAAGTGAACAATACCGAAAATCTTAAAAATGATCTTGGTAAGAAGATGAGCGTAGATCTATACAACAATATGACAGAATATTTGGAAACATTTAAAACTGAGAATGATGTGTTAGTACAAAATATGGAAGAATACGAACGGGAAGAACAAATATTAGAACAGTGTATGGAGAAAACTTTGAAAAAGGAGGAAGAAGACTTCAAGACGTTACACGTGGATGGAGAAGCTCTGAATGATGCATTCAATTGTACTGGATTCGACAACCTGAAGAGCAGTGTTTCCCAAAGGGAAGGCTATATTTCACAAAGAATTGACCATGTTAAGGGTGTGGTAACTTATATACAGCAGCTTTTAAAATTTTACAGTGATTTGGAGAAGCATTTTTATTTACTGGGCGATAAAAATTATGTGCAACGTGTGGAAACATTGAGAAGAAATGTTCAGACCGATATTATGAATAAAAAAGTAAGTATTCAAGAGAATAATTTCGCAAGAATAACTCAATCTATACACAAGGCAATCAAAATAACCGAATGTTTAGACAAAACCATACATTTTCATAAACAATTAAACAGGAGCATAAGAGAATGTGAAGACATTAATGAATCGATCAACAATTTAAAAGGAAAAACAGTCGCGTTAAAGGGTGAACTGCAAAAGGAAATTGATGAGATTAGAGCAGATCATCTGATAAGTGAAGCTGTAAGAATTGCAATACTGGATAAGTTGGAAGCAGAACTAGGAAGTGTAAACATCAAATTAAATGAGACTCACATGGATGATTTGCTCAAAAGATCAACTTATTTGAACAAATTCTACAGAGATTCCAAAAGCGATTTACACGCAAAGAGGCAGAAATACCCTGTGCACGATTTTTTAGAAAAAGTAAATGACTGGGCACAAATTAAAATGGCAGCCCACGAGTTACATGCCCATTATAGTTCATTTAACGACAATAAGGATAAACTAATTATAACTAATTCTCGCATATACTTACAATCGATATACAACCTTATAAAAGAATTGGTACAGGAAACAAAGGAGGAGAAGGAAAAAATGGAGAGATCTTTAAAGGGGATAGAAAAAAACTTAGAACCTATTGAGCTGAACGAGCATTATAAAGATGCTAAGGTTACGGACAAGGAAAATGGTATAAAGAATATAAAAGAAGACATTATTCCCCAAATTAAGAAACGAATTGATGAATGTAGCAGTGAACTGGCTAAAATCGAGGAACAATCGGATAATTTACAAAACAGTTACACGAATCAAGGAAGTGATATTACTCACTTGCTTGACATGATAAGACAAATGAAGGGTGCTTACGAGGAATTAAAAAAGATACCTACTCTGTTGTACAAAGAGAGGGACGAAATAAGGAACACTGAAGAAACTGTAAGCAAGGTTCGATTGGCATACGAGAGAACACTAATTGAGGAACTTTTAAAAAGGATTACTCAGAAGAGGAATGAAGGGGAAATGCGAACACAACAAATTAACGAACTTGTTAAACAAATTGAGGGGATAGCAAAAGTAACAGGTGATATTATTGACCAAGAATTATCCATGACAAACTTCGAAAATTATCTTCACGATGTTAAAAACAAGGGCGAGGAGATAAGGTACATGGAGGACTTATCCACCAAACTGAGCGAAGATGCTACCAATGTTGATGTCATAAGTGAAGTCATAAAAATTAAAGAACAGGTTTACGCACATTTGGAAAAAGTCGCGAGAAACTGCAACCATGTAAGCGAGGCACTGAACCAAATTAAAGAAATGAAAGAACTAATATTGTCAGAGAATTATAACAATGTTATTAACTTTATGGCTAGGAATGAAAATGATGCTAATAAATATAGAGAATTGATAAAACTGGAATTGCTAAAATCTGAGGATGCCACTGAACATGTGATAATGAGATTTGAGGAAGCAAAGCAGTTAAAAGAAAAAATCAAGACAGATATAGATGATGAGGGGGTAGATAATATCATCAAAGAAATTGAAAAAATAAGAAAAGTAATTTTGAATGAAATAAAAGATACTAGCACATTTTTAACAAAGGCAGAAAACGACAAAGAAAATTGTCTTCTACATTTCGAGAATGTAAAGGTGGGGAAAGAAGTATTTGATTACTTAAAAGAGCATGGTGATGATGAACACAAAATAATATCACACCAAGAGATAAATATGATACAAGAAAATGTGACAACAGTAAAACAGCACTTGGATGAAGCTGACAAAGATGTGGAACAAACGAAAATATATTATTCCTCTATTTTGAAGTATAAAGAGTTAATCAATGACCTGTTAAACGAAGCCCTAATTGGAGAAGTCAAAATAAAATGCCAGAAATTGAGAATAGAAGTAGACGGAATAATGGACAATATGGAACGCGTAAATGTTAAGACCAAGGAAGAGTCCATAAAACAAACACAAAAGGTAAAACAAATGAAGGAACAATCCATTGTTGAGAGTGATCAGCCTAAAGAACTTAACGAACAGTCTATGGACGCATTGTTACAAATAAAAAATTATAGACAGAAATTAGACAACGTTATGTTAAGTATAAAAAGTGTGGAAGACAACATGGAGGAGTTTTTAAGGAACGCTGGTAATTATGTGAAGTCAACACTAAGTATCTCTCAAGTGCAAAATGAAAATTCGTTCTATATGTTGAAAGCGGCGGAGGAAAAGTACAAAGTAGTTTTGAGAAATGTTCAGAATGAAGAGCAACGTATGATAAGTGAGGAACAAAAATTAACTGAAATGTATGGGGATGTCATTTCATTAGAAAAGGAATTGGAAGAACAAAAAAAAAGATACGAAATGGGATTATTGACAGGGATAAAAGAGAATGCTGACAAAAGATTGGCGGCGTTGGAATTAACCAAAGGGGAAATTAACACTTTGGTAGATCCGTCCAAATCCATATTTTTTAAATTCAAATTGGACAAATTAGACGACACACATATAAAGAATTATTTAAATCGCTATTCTCATAGAATGAACCATATTTTTAACGAATTCATGAAATTGTATACATTGCTAGAAGGTTACTTATCCCAGAATTCTGAGCCTTCTGTAACATATAATGAAGTTAAAATCGTGAGGGAGAAAGCGCAAAAGGAAGAGAGGAGCCTTGGAGAAAAATAAGAAGAATCAAAAGAAGTACTAAGAGTCATGAAAGAGGAAGAATCCTTATGGTTGTTAAATGCAATGATGCAAATGCTCAACAGTGCAAAAGAAAGAGTTACGAAAGATCACGCAAGAGTCAGAAATTATGTAGAGAATATTAAAAAAGGCGTTAGCGATTTAAAGAAACTGGACGATATACATAGGAGTGCCAATATTTTCAATAAGGTAATGAATAGCATTAATGAAATTAAGGATACAACGTATATCTACGATAGGAATGATGCGGACAATATATACGAAAACATGATAAAGGTGGCGAACTATTTTTTAAATGACAATGTTAAAATAGAATCCAAGGAAAAGCTAAACGGAGCAGCACTTTCAGAGTCAGAATCCGCTATAGTGTCATACATTTATGGCAAAATAAGGGACGCAAGGAAAATTGTAGAAATGATAGAAGAAGAGTCTACAGGTATACATGATAAACAAATAGAAGGCGAAAGACTCTCAACAGAAGCGAACCACATTTATAGAGTGGCAAAGGTAAATAATGAACTTAACAACAAAAAGGATGAAGCAAAACTTAAGTTAATATCTGTGTTAGCCGAAATAGAGAAAACATTACATAAATTAAAAAGTGTGAACAAAATAAAATGCCACTATGATAATTATAATAATATACTAGAATATAACGAAGAACATGAGCATTTTAAAAAAATTTCTTCTATCTACGAGTTCAAGAAGGCTCAAATAGGGAAAGAAGCAGATATAAATGAAATGAAAACTGATGTAAATAAGTACCAAGACAGGTTAGCCATTTTAGATAAAAACGGGGAGTCTTTTAAAGAAAGAAGCCTTGACATTTCTGCTGCACAAATGTATAAAACTGACGTTGAAGATATCATTAATAAACTAAACTCTATAGGTAATAACATTAATGGAATTAATTCCACGTTGGATGAATTGCTAAAAATAGGAAATAAGTGTCAGCTGCAGCAGACCTTTTTAATCAGCAGTTCTTTGAATTATAAAATTGCAAATTGTTTAATAAATATTACAAAACAAAAATAGAATACAGAAAAATGCTTCGAATATGTCCAAAAAAAATCATGAATATATGGCTAATTTCTTTTCTGAGTTACACAAATTACAAGGTGGTGTAATGGAGAGTGTTAACCTGGTCGATAACACACCGGATGCAGATAAGTATTACCATGAATTTATGGAAATACAGCAGGACGCAGTGAAAATCGCGGAGGATATAAAAAATGAAGTATACGACTTAATCGAAGATGTCGACGAGCTCGTGATAGAGAATCGGATAAAAAACCTGCTCAAAACTTACAACAAATTGAAGAATAAAGAAGTCGAAATGGATCAGAGTAATAAAAATATGTATATCACTAAATTGAAGGAAGTCGAAGGAAGCCATGATATTTTCACGCACGTAGCACACCTGATTAAGGGCGAAGCGGATATAAAGGGGAAAGAACTGTCAGAGAGAGAAAATAAGTTAGACAGTATTTTCAATTTTGTAAAATTGCACGAAACCGATTTGCATAACCTTTACCCTCAGTACACACCGGAGCATATGGAAAAAATAAATAAAATATTTGACAATGTCAATGCAAGCATCAGTGTGGGTGACCTTAATGTTGATCACAGTAATGAATATAACGATGTGAGAAGGCATAAAAACGAAGCAATGCTTTTAATGAACGCAACAAATGCATTCTCGAAGGAAGTAGAAATGTTACAGAACGAAAACGAAGACAGAAACGGAGGCAAAAGCCATGTCGTGGAGAATTACACAAACAATATGGACGAATTAACTGAGTACGCTAAGACAGTTGTGAAAAAGATAAATGATTCAAAAGAGGACTATGCAAAAATATTTGATAATACAATAGAAAATGAAGCCATGCTGGAAAGAATTGACCTAAAGAAGAAGGATATTAACGAAACACTTGCGAATTTAAACAAAACGAAAGAATATTTATTAGAAAAATTACATGATGAAGAGAAATTGCATCATATGAGAGAACAATCAGAAGACGTTACCACTAGTACTGATACAATAGTAAAAAGATTCAAGACATACAATCAAATGGTAGATACGTCCCAAAATATTGACATCAGAAACATGCGGTCAAAAAAGTACGAGTCTGTAGATGACATAGATAAAGAAATAAGTTACATAAATACTTACAACAAAGATTTAATAGAAAGCAAACTAATAGTTGAAAGGGTACTAGAAAATGACACAAGGAAAAAGAACGACATGGCTCAGATATTGTCTTCAATTTCGAGAGATAACTCAAGTATTTACGAATATGCTATAAACTTCTTTGATTGCGTCCTTAAAGCAATTGGAACACTAACTGAAACGATTAGAAATATGGAGAAATTGATAAACGAAAATGAGGCCATTATGGCAGAATTGAAGGATCAACGAAGGAAGTTACAAAATGTACAGCATGCACCTGCCGATTTAGGAAAATTAGACGAGGTAGACAAAATGGCGCCAAGGAAGTTGGAAACAAAATTGTTGGGAAGAAACGAAAGTAGAAATATAAAGGATGGTACAACTGATTCTACACTTAAGGATGATAAAAAAACATATAATGTGAACGGAGAAGGGACAAGACAAGAACATGTTATGTTGAAGAAGGGACCACCTCCCCAAATAGACGTTTACCGGACTAGCATTTTAAAAAATGACAAAAACGATCAAGAATCAGAACAAATAGATAAGAGGAATTCAATAAAACCCGTAAGCACCGAGAAGACTGTGCAATACAGGAGTTATTTAAACAATAATAATAGTAACAACGATAATGACATAAGTACCTTGTATACGCTAGGTGAATATAACACTCCAAATAATAATTATAATACTAATGCATTGGGGGATAGTAAAAATGAAGAAACGAATGAAAAGAGAAATTATGCTTTATTTGTCTATATAGGGGGATTGTTTAGTGCCCTTTTCATTTTTATTGGTTTTGTCTTCTATTCGTTACCCAAAAACATAGGCACAGTGGGGGTCGAAAAAAAGAATGACAAAGAAAAACCAATCATTGGGGACACAAAAATTAAGGTATTTGAGGAAGTATATGGTTCAACACGTGATGTAAAAGATGTGGTTATAGATGTGTCTTTTGTCCATATGGAAGATAATTTGTAATAAAGGTGATAAATCATGACATTGGCAAATGGATCATTATACAGAGTGGAAATCGTGAAACAGTAAATATATGCACACATCATATATTCCCTTTCTGATTTCTCTATGATTAGCATATGAAGGAAGGGTAGTAACAAAAGCGTTCCTATTTATATGACCAAGGATTTTTCCAGATGGGTGCGAAACGCGTATAGTGTTACATTCAACTGGTTTGCAAAAATGTATGATAGACACGGAAAGGAAATGCTTTCTAAAATGCTCGGAAGATGAATTGAGTTGTAAATAAAACATTGAGAAGGAACATTTGAAAATAATGTCACGTTTATTGCTTGCAGAGTATGGACCCAAGGGTGCTCATATGAATATTTCTTCTGAGTTCGATTGGCATTATTGATTTTTGTTGGATTGAATGTTCCATTTTTTTTTTTTTTTTTTTTCTGATAAATAATGAAAAATCGAACAAAAGATGAATTACGACGTCGTATGTTGCGGAGGAATTTACCCACTAGTGTATAAATATGTGGTTACAATTTGGGATGTAACCATATTTTATGTCCTATGTATTCGCATTTTTGTTTCAAATAATGCGTATATTGGGGTCAAGATGGTTGTTATTTGTGGCAATATTGCTTACATGTGTAATACAAAGAAAAAAAAAAAAAAAAAGAATGCCTGATTTTAATATCAGTCGTTTTAATAAACAGACGCATTTTTTTTGGATTACTATAATATGAACATTAATTGCATAATTTTTTAAAAAATTCCTTTTTATTTATTTATTATTTTTTGGTGGGCGCTTTCATTTACCCTATTTAAAATTATCAGCATCCATAATTTTTAACTATTTTAGCTGAATTAACTTTTTTTGTAAAACATTTCTTAACATAAATGATTAGTATTATTATTAAAAAAAACCTTTTTTTTTAGTGTCTTGGAAATAAAAGAAAGAAACAGTGGGTATTGTACAAATGGTACAATGAATTAACATAAAAACAATCTTTAAAAAAAAGTGCGCGTTTCGTTTTGCTTTCACAAAACACTAAACATTAAGTTTAGATGAGAAAAAAAAAAATACTTTTTCTTAATTGTATTTACAAAAAAGGACCACAAATAGAGGAGTCGTAATAATTGTTTCAGATGTGTGGCAAAATTAAAGGGTATTTTTAAGCATATCAAAAGTAAAAGAATGCATTTGTAGGGTTTGCACTGTTTTTTTTTTTTTTACCATTTTATCTAACATATGATATGTGTCGAACGGGTTCGTAAATGTTTAATGTAGCGCGTTGATCGTTATGTGATGGGTGCGCAGCATTATCAGCTAGATTTTCACAGTTATTTTATGTTGTAATTATTCAAAGTTTTGTCTAGATGAACTTTTCGACGTTGTTACTTGAAGCAGCCGAGGCATCGTTATGCGGTACTTGGGCATCTTTCTCCTTTGGCTTCTTTTTTCCCCGATGTGTACTATTCCTTTGCGCAGTGGCTCTATTTTTACTTGGTGTTTTCGTTATTTTTCATTTAATATTTTTGATTAGCATTTTTTTCATGATCCACAAAATTCTGTTCATTGTGAATACACTTTTTATGGGTTCTTTAAAATTACCCTGATATGTTTTTTCTTCTTATGAATTGTTTCGTTGACGAGTCCTCAAGAATGTCCGTGTTAACTATTCTGAACTATTTGTGATAACTCCAATTTGATGTGCTCCTTCCAGCGTCACATTTAAGCGTGACAGCCTGGGTTACGCAGGCTTTAAGTTGATTTTACACTTACACAAATACAAGCATATAATTCTTACGGAACTACGCATGTGCGGAAAGTAGGAATATTGTACATGCATGAATGTATACACACATATATATATTTTTTTGCTTTACGAGCATCGGCCTTATCTGATATGAAACAATCATGGCGTATATGTTTGATTTGTAACAAGTTGCGTGTCTGAAAACCCTTTTTTTGGTGAACCAAATGAGAAACATTATTTCACATTATAAAAAAAAGAATCATCCTGTAGGCTTGTACAAAAATTTTATATAAAAAAAAACAAACTCTCAAAATTAAATATCGCCTTGGAGATTAATGCATAAATATGACAATGGGGGAATTATTTAAAGTTTTCAACAAGAAATAAATAAATAAAAATGAAATAAGGTAGGATAACTAATGTAGAGCAACACTATGAGGCATAGCATTATATATTAATAATACATTGTACACATATAAACACGTAAAAACAAGTAAGCACACATGTATAATTCTTTGTGGCAAACAAGTTGTTGTAGCAAAGCGGTATGTATAAAGAAAAGGCTGCCCTCAAGATTAAAAAAAAAAAACACATTATCCACAGAATCACTTAATATAAAAATAAATGTAATTCTATGAAAATATGCAATTACGTTAGAAAATATATAACAGCACACATTGCCATTATATTTATCATTAACAAAGTAAAGAGTAAAGAGGATGATCTAAAAGACTTATTAACTAAGTGCATATCATTTTTTTTTTTTTTTTTTTTTTTTTTTTACTCTTCCATAAGAAAAACATTTATAGGTGTGTTACACTAGCGTGTAAATATTTAAATTTAATTATTTGTATGGGTAACCTTTGAGGATAGAATGCTTTTCCAATTTTTGAGGGTTTCGGTGACAATATTATTGGCTATTATTTGCTATCATTCACTACTTCTTATTACTTCTAGGGTTACGTAAACTATGAAGTATATATTAAAATGTTTTTTTAGTAGGAGAACATGTCATCGACAATCGAGAAAAGAAAATTTTGATGTGGCGTTTTACATAAGGAAATAAGAAGTAATAAAAATTACTAGCACGAAATTTTTCCCACAGGTGTTTATTGTATTTATATTCCATTATGAAGAATATTTTTATTCTATTTATAAGTTTTTTGATATATCTGGAAATACGATACTTCAGTCTCAAATATTTGCTTCTATACAAGCTTGATTTTCTCGACAGATCCATGATCCGAATTATGCAATTGTCTTCATTGAAATAACAGCTAAGATATTCGTTTGATGGAGACTCCCCTGTTTTCGAAAATTCCTCCCTCATGAGTTTCTCTTGTAATATAATTTTATTCATTTCCTCCAGTAGTGCTCCTTCGTCTGATACATCAACTTCAGGAAATTCATCGTCTAAATATTTATAACTAGGCATGGTTGACTTGGTCATATCTGTTTTTTTTATCGAATACTCTGATTTGTCATTTACATCCTTAGTTATTGATAATATTGGTTTATAGTTAGTAGTAGAATTGGTACAGCCTTCTATGGCCAACAATCTTAATGTTCTAAAGCACACGTTGTTCCTTTCATTGTTTGCGTTATTTCCTGGCGTAAGCGGAGAACTCTGTAAATTGCAAGATATACATATAAACAGTACCAGATGAAGAAAAAGGGGAAGACAGAATATTCTGTGTACTATATGTAATAGTGCTAATTAATATATGCTCGTACATATATATATATATATATGCACAACATGATGGGTGACAATTAAGAGAACAAGAATTTGCACACTACAATTTATAAACTTACGTTGCTGAAATGTTTTGACACGTAAAGCAAAAAGCCTAATATTACAATTTTCAGGATAAAAAGAAATACGTTAATTCTGATTTGGCTTGTCCATTGTATTATACTCACTGTGGTAAATTCACCAGTACGGTCTTCATCTGATGTGCCACATTTGGCCTTGCTCATTCTTTTAATATTTATTTCATTAAGGTTTTCATTCTTCATTATCCATTTTTTTATAACAGACACGTTTTATTTGAACATTAACAACTAATTTAAGACTATGAATTTGAAGGACGTTAAAAAAAAAAAATAAATAAATAAAAATACAGCCTCAAAAAATATCCATATCGAATATTTTTAAGCAAACATTAATATGACATTATTCATTGTCATTCAAACAAAACTGGCATAAGTTGAAAAATACTAAACAAGCAAAAATAAAACATTTATTTAATGGTATCAGTGGCACATCCCCATTTTTGTTAATATTTTTGAAGGTCCACATGAGAGACAATATGAAGGAAATTTTAATGTAAATAAAAGTGATAAAGAAATGGTAACAGTGACAGCAAATTATATCCAAGTAAATTGTAAAAATTTGTAGAAATTTAAAAACTACCGTATTATATATTTATTAAATTATGGCGGAAAATTTAAACAGTTAAATCAAATGTAATAATTATAAAACATTTCTAATAAATATAAATACAATTATAAATTAAATTGTCAATTTTTTTGTTTCAAATTGAAGTACGTTATTTCTTCTGCATAAACATTTTTCTGGGCATAAAATTTTTTTCAATGCATTAGAACAAAAGGGAATAAAATAAAATAAGAACTAAGAAAGGAGTTGATGGTGAAAAAAAGAAAAAAACTGACTTCGTTGTTGGATTTTACCGTGGTGTTAAATAAATAAAAAAAATGAAAAAATGCCCGAGATTAAATAATTGCCCTTGTACAATATTATCATTTGTAATGTTAACGTACACAATACTTATAACTAGCGCATTTTTTAATTAAAAATATTTCTTATGGTTTTGCTCAATGGTACCAGGTGGAATTGAAAATTATAATACACGTACGGTCGTTATATTGGATTTTCATGAATAATTGTTTTCAGATATTATTTGTCAAAGATTAAAAATTTTTTCTGTTACCTTATGTAAAGGGGGATGATGTTGATGTAAAATAAATCTAATGCATTATTAGGGCCCAGGAATTATCGAAAATTACTGAATTAAAAATAAGAATCCTTAAGTTGCCTTGCGTTTGTTTATTTACTTAGTGCTTTGTTCAAATTAAGGTTAAAATTGTTTAAAAATTATTTTAGGCCACATATTACCATTAACATTTGATTAATTTTGGAAACAAGAGATAGTTTTAGAAACACAAAATGTTTTGTTTATTAAACATTAGCATTATTTACTTTTAGTCAAGTTTACACATATTTGAAAAGATAACAATACGCGCATGTGTGACCTGTACTTAATCTTCCGAGAGTGGGTAATAATTATTGTAAAAAAAGAAAACATTTGGTTCCAATTTATATTATAATTTTAATAATATAAAATTATATTTTGGTTTCAGCAATGTTTAGTCCTTTTTTTATTAGAACTTTTACAATTTTTTACGTGGGGGGTGATAGAAGATAAAAAGGACAATCATTTGGAATTTGTTTTAAAATACAAATAAATGAACAAAATGCAACATACATTGGATGAAAGAAAAAAGAGCTACATTAGGGAAGTACATTATGTACATTTGGAATTCTTCTAAACAAAATCGGTTAAATATGTACACACGATTTATTGTTTCCACATTGTATTTAATTTATTAAAATGGTTATTCTTTGCTATTTTGTGGAATTTTTTAGTTATGTTTTTTACATTTTTTTTTTTTTTTTCTCATTTTGTTGTATTTTCTGTGGTACATTTGGGTAAGTTCATTCTGGTGAAGTACTAGTTATTAATTTTTTGTCAACATTTTTTTTAATATGGAAAAATACACACGCTGTCCTTTTTATAGTACTTATTCCCCCACGTTACGCATTTCTACTTTTGATAACAATTATTTAAAAAAAAGTGAAGAAAAAATAGTGAACACTGCTACTGTTTTTATTCGCATACTTCCGTTATAAAAATGGAGAAGACACATCTGGTGTATGCATAGTAGTAGTCGAGCACTTACGTATGAGTATAACATTTAGGAATCATTTTATTTTTCAAAGATTTGAATATGTATTTTTAGAATGTGCGGTTCAGGTCAACATGGGTGTAAAAAATAGTGTTGTAATTTTCAGCAAGGCGTTAAAATTTATTTTTACCCTTTAAAAAAAACGAGAAAAGAAAAGGTACGTATATTTATGTATGTACAAGGCCTGTGCGCATACTAATCAAAAGGGTACACAAATTCGCACTGGACATATTGAGCGTTTATGTAATTTCCCTTGTTACCCCCATGTGGTAATCATTATTGTGTCTATGGTATATATAATTGGCAAGTCATTTTTATAGAATTCTTTTCTCTCACATGTTGTCAATAAATAAAATATTAAAATGTCCTTTTAGACGCTTTGGAAATAAATTGTTATTGAGATATGTGCAAAGTTAACCAGTGTTCCAACGGGTGCAAGTGGTAAACGGGGCATGCAGTGCGTAGCTTTATGGAGGTTCCACCGACTGTGCTGCACTGAAATAGTTTATACGCGTTAAACATTTTGCCCATACCTGTTCCAGCTTTGGCAAGGATGATGTTTGAGTACTGTGAAAATAGATATGTTTAGGTCAGACAAAACAAATGCGCGGAGTGCAAACCTAGAAAGAATAATGATGCAACATAAATCGTATAACATCAGGATGATAAAATACAAATAACTAATTAATGAATGAATAATGTGTAAATATTATGTGAAAAAGTTTTAAACCAAAATGTTATCATGGCATTAATTTATCATATATAGATAAAAGAAAAATTTTTTAAACTAGTAAACAAACACAATTTTGGAGTAATAGGAAAAAAGCATGTGATAAATAGAGGCTAACATGGACTCTACTTGTATTCGAACAGTGGGGAGAGGAGGAGTGTGGTGCCAAATTACAAACTAAACTGCTTGCGCCCTATTTAGCAGCACGCGCTGTCTTATTAATAATTATTACATATATACTCTTAAATTGTCACATTAAATTTGAATTTGTGTTTTTCCTTTTTTTTTTAATAAGTGCTTAAACTTGGCTGTCTTAAGGTTCATACATGTGTATGTATGCCGATAGAACCCCAAGACCGAAGAAAGGTTAAAATCGATCAGGCCTGCCCCTTTTTCTTCTCTACGAATGTGATAATTTGTTGATTCCTTGGGACACAAGTTTAGCAATCGCTTTGTCAAATAAAATGTACAAAAAAAATAAATAAATAAATAAAACACACATGTGTCATTTGATTGGTGTAATTCGAATTTGCTCACTAACTTTTCGCTGAACTTAATTGTTTTATTTCTTCAGTCAAGACAGTCCACTGATGTTGCCTTATCCATTTGTACACATAAGAATTCACCCAAGCGTAAAACAACGTGCGTTTCGCATTTTTCCACTCCTTCCATTTCGCCCAGTTCGAATTTATATAAATGTTATCTTTGAACTCTACATATTCATGCCATTTGTTCAGTTCACACTGGGTCCTTTCTCTCCACTTGATCCATTTTTCGTGATCTTTTGAATTTACCATTCTGGATGAATTCTTTGATTCTTTCAATTTCTTTTCCCATTTCCACCAGTATTCATTTTCCTTACGCTTCCATTTACTATTGAACCATTCTTGAATTTTTTCATTTTTCCATTGTGTCCATTCCTTCGAAACCCATCGATATAGATAGGACTCCTTGGAAGTAAGCCACCTTGTCAAATCTTTTTCTATAAATGATCTTCCTGCTGTTTTAATCCATGTTCTCCAAGCCACTTCATTCCAGTACAAGGATTCCTTTAAAACTTCAGATTTATATTTGTCATCTATATTTTTCCCGAAATTGGTCCATTTTTTTTTGATACTTTCGAACCATGGTCCCCATTCCTCTTCACTCATTTTTATGAGTTCATCCTTTTCGGCTTCTAAATTTTCATCGAATTCTTCCCATTCTTCTTCTATTATATCTTCCCATTTATTCCATTCATTTTGTCTCCATTCGTCTGATCTTTCTTTTGGTTCTTGTGAATTTTCTAATGCATTGGATAGGTAATTCGTAGTGTTGCCTAGAGCCGCCCTAAAAGCCTACGTCGAAAATAGGTTTAAAACAAAAATATAAATATATGTGTTGTATAAAGTAAATCGAACAGTTGAAAAGATCCATCCTATGCTTATGTGCTTTTTCATCTTACTGCGGAAGCTTCATTTAAAAGGAACGAAGAAGAGAATAAAAATAAGGCAAGGATTATTCTTGAAACAACGATGGAAGACTTGGAATATGACAGCATAATGTTCTTCGTATTTTCTTTATGGAGGAATTTTGAAAAAAAAAAAAAATGTTACATGTATAAGGATGTATAACATTGAGTTCTCTTTTTTTTTTTTTTTTTGTTTTTTATACTTTAGTAACAACGAAATATGACAAAGAAAGAGGGGGGTTAAAAATACCTGCTATTGAACATAAAAAATAGTCTTATGTACGTTTTTGAGTAATTAGATTCTATATCTAATAAAGAGGTTGTGAACCATTTCGTGCCGTGGAATTTTTTGTTAAGAAATGGCAATTATATATAACTGCTTCTGCTAGGGAAGGGGTCACGTGAAGTATTCATTACGAAAAAATAACAATACATTATTTATTAGAAATCGTGCTGTAATGCAAATAATAACTACAAAATAAAATTTGCAAAAAAGAAAAAAAAAAAGAACAAGAAAAAAATTAAAACAGGTTTATTACAATTATGACAACAGTGTTGTAAAAAGAATCATCTTGTGGAATGAGATTTAATCTAAATATATTTTTTAAAAAAAATTAATACATTTACGCAAATTTTTTGTTTTTACAAGTATTTAGCAATTTTGTTATATTTTGAACTGACGCGTTTCTTTTATCTATATGACGTCCTTATCCTACGTTGCTATTTTAATATTTACAAGGTTGATATAAATTATATAACGACTTGGTCTTAATTCATTAAGTCTAAAAAAGGAAAATAAAACAAAGCCGGTAAGCAATTTATTTTGTGTATACGTACACATATAAATTTACTACATAGGGCGTATTTTCAAAACAGGGACCCGTAGGAAAATTTTCCTTTTTACCATTTTTCTGATAATTTATTTAAAAATTAAAGGTATATTTTATAGCGGAACAATTTGCATCTATGAAGATGACGCTTCTGCCTTACACATACAAATTTTTGTTTGTCAAGAAAAAGAATAACTGGATTTCGCCTCACTGACTTTTTTTTTATGCAATAAATGTTATACCGGAAAGTGTAAATTAAGAAAAAAAAAAAATAATCATACAGGTGGTACATATTTAACATGAATAAATAGTATAATGGAAATTTGCAAAAATGAAAGAGAACGACCATTGTTAAAAATATGACGTTATTATAATCTTGAATATGTATGAAAGATAACCTCTGGCAAAGTAATTGCTCCAGTTTGGTTGCTTGAGGTGTTATGCTTTTGTCCACATATTTGTATTGTACCATGTTAACGTGAACCATTATTGGAATTATAGCGTTCTTAATATAATGATAATTTTGCATTTAAAAATCAAAAGCTAAAATGAAAAGAGGCGCAAAGTGGTTAGAACAGTGTGTGCGTACACATATATAGATATACGACATATTGTGCCAAAAATGTGCAGAAATGTCCTAAGCGATACGATGATCGTGACAAGTTAATTTTGGGAAAATACTTATTCATTTTATAAAACTAGCACAATTTACAATGCATGGAGGTAGGAAGCTTTATATGTTAAAATTGAAATTTTGTGTTGGTGTAAAAGTGGAGGCTTGGTTTATTGTGCAGTGCAATGTATACATCGTTTTAGACGCTAGGATAAAAATATTTGATAATTAAGAGTGAATGCAAGTTAATTTAAATTATTATTAAAACAAAATTGTGTTAAAGGTGGAATAAACAATAAATATTATAGCGGCTTCGCTAGCTTATTCTTAAAAGGATAATGCATTGATAAAATTAAAGTTCATAGGAAATACTCAAATCGACAAAAAAAAGAAAACTAAACATACTTGAAATGTTACGAAAGGACAATATAAGATAATATTTTGTGTATCCATTTTAATTAAGCGATCTCATAATAAATGGCCGGACAATTGTCCTTTTAAAGTTTACTTTAAATTTGCTTCAGAGAAAGAATGTTTATTTTGCGTGTGCAATATGTATTTTCTTTATCTTGATCTTCATCTCATTTTTGTTACATTTTTTACCTGTCTGGTTACATTTTTGGTTACTTTTTTGTTGTTTTTGAAAATAGTTTGTTCTGTTCTTTTCGAGAAACAATTTGAAAGCTATGAGTATATTCCTTTAGTAAAATGATTTATTTCCCTTGAAGAAAAAATTAAACAAGGTTTCAATTTCAACTTTAAATATTTAGTTAAGTGCTAAACTGGAAGGATGATGTCACGAATTAAATCGGGGGAAATATTTTTCATTTGAAATAGTCTATTATGCATTTTTTTAAGTTTTTTTTTTGTTTCATGTTTAAATGTTATCATAGTCTTTACTCGATCAGAATTTTTTACATTTTTAGCAGTTCAACATGCGTATATGTTATGCATTTGGTAAAGAGTATTTAACTTAAATTATTTTACTTTAGTATATGAATAAAAGTTTTTTTTCTCCTTTTGAAAAGTTCAAATAAGGCAGGGTGTGCTACACAGTATACACATTTTCGCAAAAAAACTTGTATAATCTTAGATCAATTCGACGTTTCGTGTCCATAGATTTTTCAAGAAATAAATGTCTTGGTTGTAAAGATTTGTGCTTTATTAACATGGTTGTTAGGAACATGAGTTAAAAAAAAAAAAAATAAATAAATAAATAAAAGAATAAATTTTCACTTTTTTGAGATTAAATTGGTATAAGGGTTATGTTTTGTGTAATCAGAAGGACACCACGAATAGCAATATTTTTATACCTTTATGCCAGGCTGCAAGTAAAATTTAGGCATATGTATGAGCATATATGTAATAATTACACCTAACATATAGATGTCTAACGAAGAAGGGTTATATAATTCGGGTTTTCAATATATAATCAAAACAGGAAACAAAAAAAATATATATGTAAAATAAAATAAAACAAAATAAAGCAAAACGATATCGTCATAATAAATCCTTCAACCAGTAATAAGTATTGTCAAATTAAGTGAACAAAGGAGTTCCTTATGAATATCGTGTTTGCTCACAGAAACAAACGTGCTACTTGTACCATCATTCAAGTAGCCAGTTATATACACTGAAAACGGATGATACCAAAATGCTCGGATTGCACATATAAGAAATTGCATAAGAAATAAGCTTTAATTTACGGATGCGTACACATAATGGAGTGCTATTTTTTAGTGCGCATGGTACTACATATAATTAACGACAAATGTAGATAAAACCGAATTTTCAGAGACACATCCTAAAAAATAAAAAAAAGTTCAAATGGTGGGCATAATTTGTAGCGAATGAAGAAGAATATTTAAAACGAGAATACAGACAATAAATGCATATTTTAATAGCTTATTTGAATGTTATCTGAAAAATACATATTATCCATTTTAGGATTAAGCCCTTAAAATTCTTTGGGAAGGTTATACAAAAATTGTTAATGCTGTTGCTATCAATGATTTCCCATACTTATTTTTAGGTGGGTTCGTCGCTCTATTAGGATTACTGAAATGAGTTCAAATGGTGCTTCCGTACAAAGTGAAACATTTTCTTTTTGTGTAGCATTATCCATTATTTTCATTCAATCATTATCACGAATTTTAAAGCACATTTTTTGGGGAAAGACATTACGATTTTTTCATTGATAATAATGCAAAAGGTGTATTTAATTGGTGAGCATTTTTTTTTTTTTTAATTAGGATTTTAACATTGGTTATGCAATATATCCTGTTTCTTTATATTTAGCCAGTAGCTAAGAAAGGAGTCCATCCATTTTTGAAAGAAATCATTTTTGTAGTATTTCCAATTTTCCCACTTATCGCTTTCTTCGTTTTCTAAAAAATCTTCCTTTTTCTTAATCCAGTTGAGAAAGCAGTCCCTTTCATTCATGATTTGTGCATTCGAATTGAACCAGGGTTTTTTCTCAGACATAGCTAAAATTTTAGTGTATGGCATACGTTCCCAGTTTTGTAAAATTCTCCCTTCATGATATATCCAGTTACGTTTAAGCCACTGTTTAATTTTTTGGTTTTTCCATTTAAACCATTCTTTCATAATAAGTTTATAGTAAAGGGTCTTATTTGAAGTGGTCCAGTTATCCCACTGGGCTTCTATAATACGTTTGCCATCTTTGTGAATCCATTCTTGCCACTCAGAATAGTTCCACATTGAGGAAATTTTTAAAATACCAAATTTATGCATTTCATGCATATTTTGAATAAAATGGAGCCATTTATCTTCTATGGACTTGATAAATTCTATCATTTCTTCTTTTTTTCCAAACCACTTGTTTTTTTCGCTTTCCAGGGAGCTGGTGAATTCTTCCCAGTCCATTTGCATTTCAGTCATCCATTCGCTCCATTCGTCTTTGACCCACTCTTCCACTTTTTCCGTCCCTTCGGATGTGTCGTTTAATGTAACGTGTGTAAATCTTTCAATTTCTTTTCTTGATTTCTGGGAAGACGAATAAAATTAAAGGGAAAATAGTTTATATATTTTGTTTCGGTTGATATAATTTTTTAAAAAGAACCGAATTAACTCATTATATGTAGGTTAGTGCTGTGTTTTCGCCTTACGTCGAAGAAATCCTTTAAAATGTCGGCCGCCCCGGATAAATCTAATAAAACGCTAAATATATAGAGGACAATGAAAGCAACTTGCATTTTTTGGTGGCGCTTAATTTTCACTTAATACTTACTATTATTGCTATATTTTGGCGAAAATAAACCCTTTGAGATGTAGCAAAATGTGGGTGTTTTAACCACCGTTTTTTTTTTGTTTGTGTATATTCTTAAAAAAGAAAAAAATGAGTCTTTTCCTCAGTTAAAAGTGTTCTGTGTACGCGGCTCTACAGGATGGTGAATAACAAGGTTTACATAAATTTGCCGACGATCCACGTTTCTATCTCATTGTGCGAAATAAAAAATATCACTTTTGTGTGTAAGTGAGCGTTAAATGGGTATCACAAAATGATCGCAAAGTAGTTACGATGCAGTTGCAAAATCGCCATCAATTCTGTTTTTGCTGTTGTGGTAATTATGGTTATAGGCTAAGCAACTCAAAAATTGGTTAATTGACGGATACGTGAACATTAAACAAGACTGTTATTTTTTCTCTTTTTAAAGCATTATTTTAAGGAGGAATGGAGTCACAGGGTTTATGGCAAAAACCAATTTTTTGTTGCCGTTCATGTATGGGTATATAATAGTTTTTACAACATTTATAGCAAATATATATGTACTTTAGAAAGTTCACTATATAATGGAGGCGCTTATTCTTTTTAAGCATTTTTTATTGATTTATTTGTGGTTAATGCAAATATGCAATTAAATAGCATTATCGTAATACGAAACCTTTGTTTTCGGAGTAATGTTGCAGCCACTTTCTGTGTTAATGGCTGCAGGCAGGGGCGCACACTATACTACTAATAAGCTCTTTAATTGAATTACCTGCGTACGCCCAAATAATTAAATATAATTTAAAGAAGAACATATATAAAATGGTGCAGAATTGATATATCAGAAATTGGTCGTAGCAGCTGTTAAAAAGGTAAGAAAATGTTGTATGTAAAAAGTTGCAACCAGTTGACGAAGGCATAAAATTTTTACATTAAAAATGTTCGTGTATATATGTATATATACACATATGTATATACTTTTCCCCCTTTTGCTTCTCTGTTTTTCTCTATTTCTTTTAATATCGCAAAATGTTGTTATGGGCTAATAGATGTAACAAAGTTTACCCTTTGGAAAGGGTTTTCTTTATCACGAGGTTTGTTCTCTACGAAATTGGCAATGTGTGTTTCATCAGCCATGCACGCTTTTTTTTTGCTCATTTATTAAGCCTTTCATTTATCCACTTATATTTTTCTGTTTTCTTATTTAAATTAAGGATTATTTAGCTTATCAATTTTTGCGCAGATTTTTTGTAGAATATTTATTTTTTTATAAAAAACAGAATGTTCAATCGCACAAGTGTACAGCACAAATTGTATAATATTTTTGGTTAAAATTCTATGATAATGCAATAATTTAGAAAAAGGTAACGGTCTGATTATATGTTTCTCTCGTTCTGGCTAAGCATGTTGTACATTTGAATAGCATTATTATTGAAAATGGGAACTATGAAAAGGGAAAGAACCATTAAATTTGCGCTTGTATATAAAGAATTATTGCATAATACATTTTAGATTTATGCGTTTAGAATCATTCTAGAAGGATCAATTTTTTATAAAATGGTACTTCTGATGAGTGGAAATGTGTGTAAATGGAAGTATTAAGGAGGTCTTTACATATCTTCTCAATCGCTCAGTTGAACGAAGTTCCAAGGGGACGCACCAAAAGCGGCGTAGAATCTAGAAATCAAATAACAAGAATAACAATTAAGCGAAGAGAAAAGAAAAAATATATATATATATATATATATATATATATATATATATATATATATATATTAGCCCGTTAGAACAAAACTTATAAAATAATCAGAAAATGTGGAACAATGCGCAATTTAAGAATAAGTCGTTTTTATTGCTCACTTCATATTAACTAGAAGAGTGAAATAAGTTGTTCACTGAACGGTGTATAAATGAATATGACCATGCCAATTGTTCAATTCTTAATGACCCTTTTTGGGTGTTCGATCAATCCCTGAATTTTTTTTTTTTTTTTTTTTTTTTTCCTTTTTCTGAAGCAATTTCTTTTGGTTTTTTAAATATTTTTTTTCTTACACATAATTATATCACTTTTTATGTGAATATATTTTGAATGATAATAATGTGTATAGAGATATATATGCTGAATAGCATAAAATTTTAAGTTCGAAATAAATTTTTTAAATAAGTCAAAGAAATGGGGGAAATACACGCAAAACGCACATACATGGAGGAAGCACGCGGTGTAAAAACATCCATTGTTGTTAAGAACGCGTGAAAGGTTTCATTTCACCAAAAAAATAAATGTATGCATATAGAGCAGAATTTATAAAAATTGTGCATGTGTCTGTGTGCGTGCATTTGAACGCATTACGGAAGCTAATCGCTGTCATTGAAACAAACTTCAATGACTTCATCCTTATGGTACATATTATAGTCGTTGTTATCCTCAAATGCTTCATGATGGTCGTGTTCATGGTGTTCGTCTTCTTCATTAGGATTATGCTTACCGTTTAATAGGACAACTCCGGAAATGAGAGACAAACCAATAATAATGGCTCCTGCCAGACGAATTTGTCCATTTGTATTTTTTGTCTCTGAATGATCATCACTCTGTGAATTGTCGTGTTTTGTGCTATCAGTTTCGTATGATAACATTTGCGTCTCATCCTTTGAGTCATTAACAGGTGGGCGTGTTAACTTAGATACCTCTTCTAATTTTGTTATCACGCCTTCAGCATAATGCTGTAGTTCGATTATTTTAGAAATATTTCTATTTAGTTCATTAATGATTTCTACTGAACCGTTTACGTACTCTTTTGCATTTTCGTTCGGATTTGTATTATTTGAGGGTAGGGAGCTGAATAAATCGTCTATTTCTTTTTTCATGATATTTATTCTTTCTAAGGCATTAGTAAAATTGGATAAATAAGTTTTCACTTCATCATTCATATCTGTAACATTTTGTATTGTTAATTCTAATTTTTCCATATTTGTCTGATCCTTTACACTTTCCTTTTCAGCATCAATTTTTCTATACATGTCCGTTATGAATACTTTTACGTTATAAAGCGTTTTTATTTGATCAAATATGGATTTAATGTCACTAAAGTTGCTCTTAATTTGTAAAACTTTTTCCTTTTCTGGTAAATTTTCGTTGAAGCGTTTTTTCAGATCCTCGATTTTTTGTAGTACTTGAGAAACGTAATTTTGTGTGTATTTATTATTACACAATTCATAATTTTCATCAACTTTTTTCATTAATTTAATGTAAAGATCATCTGAGTTGATAAGTTTTCCATTAGTATTTTTTATGTTATTAATTACGTGATTTCGTATATCCTCTCTTAATTTTTTTAAATTTGTATTTTGTTCGTGTTCTTTTACTGCATTTTTCAGGCTATCCCTTCTGTTTATGAAATGTGCAATTCGTTCTTTATGCATTCCCACATTTTTATGTTCTTGGCGATTAGTTTGATCTAGTTTTTTGAATTTATCTATACTCGTTTGAATTTCATCGCTTAATTTATGAAACGTATTTATAGATTCTAATGTAAATGTGCTGTCCGTATCTTCTAATTTCTTAAGTTGTATATTTATCATGTTTTTAACTTGGATTATACTACTATTGTTATTTATAATTCTCAATTTTTGGTTGTCTAAAACGTTGTTGAATATTTCAGCTATATTGATATATTTATCAACAGTTGATTTCATTTCTTGCGATTTCACGAGAACGGATGTTTTGTAAATTTCATTCAGTGTGTTTTTTTTATCATATAATGTATTGTACAGCTTTTCTATTTCTTGTGCACTGTTTTCTAACGAAGTAAATATAGGTTCTTCGTCGTTAACTTCTATGAGGGCATTTTTTATATTATTTATTATGGCCCTTAATTGTTCTACCACTGTAGATAATTCTTCCGATTTATTATTTGATTGTTCAAAATTAGTCGCAAGGTGATCAGGTACCAATTTTTTGTTAAAATATTCATTTAATGTAAGGACGTCCTCCACGGTGGCATTATAATTATCTTGCACAAATGTCAAATATTGACTAATTTGCTCCTGCATATTATCGATTATTTCTTCGTCTGCATTTATTTTGCTTTTAACATTATTACTCAAGGATGTGTACCTAGCTATTTCGCATTTTCTTCCCCTGTGTATTAATTTGTCTAAATATGTATTTAGACGTGCAATATTTTTTTCTATATTTCCTATATTGTTATGTACTGCTTCGATCTGATCATTTTTTTTTTCCAGGTTATCAGTAGTGGTTTCATTTGCCTCTAAAGCTTCCACTGCCTGTTCAACAGTTGTTAAGGATGTTTGTGAAGTGAAAAAATCTTTTTCTATATCTTTTAAATTGAAGTCCATATTTTCGTCTACGTTCTTTTGTTGATTAAATGAATCACGTATATTTTTTAATTTTGTTTGCTCTGTTTCGTCTAAAAGTTTATCATAACTTCTTTCACTGCATGAAAGATAGTCTAATTCAGCAATCTTGTTAGAAATGCCGATTATTTTACCCGATACAGCATTTTCATTACTCTTCGCAATTTGAACTTTATTTTTTAATTCATCTATGAACTTCATTTTATGATGTAATTCGTTTACTGTGACCATTAATTGTTTGTTTTGCATTTGTTGTGCATCTATTTCGTTTGCACATTTGTGTATTTCCAAAGCCACATGGTAAGCGTTTTGTATATTTTTCTGGAGATCTAATTCGGTTGCGGTTTGCGAGTTGTTTCCTGTTCTTAAGGTTACTTTAGCATCCGGTTGAAATTTTAATTGTACTGCTGCGTTTACGTATGTACCGGTTAGAGGCAATTCTGGAATTATTTTAATATTAATAAACTTTGCGCAGGTAACTATAGGTTTGAACATGTCTTTTGCCATGTTTTTATGCGTAGAGTGTATTGTCGTCTGCAATTCTGCATATTTTTCTTCCGCCTGTTGTACTTTTTCGGATATATCGGATATATCATCTGCTTTTTTAATAACTTGCAGTAACTGCTGGATGTATTCATGTCCTTCATTAATTTTTAATTTTTCTTTATTGATGGATGTACTTATTTTGTCTAAATTTCGTTTCATGTGATTTATAAATCTCATGCATTCCATTTTTTCAATTTCTTGTATGTACTTGATAGCTTCTTCTTCGCTATTTTTTAATTTGGCTTTTTCCTGTTGAGCTTCTCGTCTGAGTTGATTGGCTAAAGTATAATTTGCGCTCTCCTCTGACGCCTTTTTTAAATTTTCATCAATTTTATTTAGCGCTTCGTCAAATTTGTTATGTATTTTTTTCATCTTTTGTTGGTAATCATGTGTATTTTTCTTAAAGTCATATTGATTTAAATCTAGGCCATTAAACAAGGAAGAAAAGGAATTCATCGTTGAATTTATGGACTCTTTTTTTTTTAAATCCATATTTGGCTTCCTACTTTTACCTATTTCATCTATCTTTTGCAATAGACCAATTTCATAATTTTTTCTGGATTCATTCAATTCCTTTTGTATACTTACAACATTCGAACTGATTCCGTTTAGCTTATTCATTTCTGTGACGATTTGATTTTCATATGCAGTTATTTGGGATAAGTACTCTATATATTTAGGTTCGTCTTTTTTTACCGTGTCTAATGTTTTGGCATCCTTATTATAAGAGGTTTTTTTTAGAGAATTCATCGTGTCTGTGGCTCTCTTAAATATGTTATCTTCTTCCTGCTTAATATGCGTAAGTTGTGATAACATATGTTTGACTCGTTCTAGATTGCTCTGTATAATTACTTTTGCATTGGTAGACGTTTGATTTTCGAGCTCATCTTCTGTGTCCTCGATATTCTGGGGTTCTTTTAATATGTTCAATGTTTCTTGTAAATCATTCACTTTTTTTTGAATTTTAGAATACTCTGTTTTAATTTCTTCCATTATTTCTGTTGCTTTGTTAATTTTCTTTTTCGATTTAGTTTCTATTCCTAGAATCTGAGATTGCTGCAAAGTGTGCTTGATGGTTTGTTCATGTTGCATGAATAAATTTACATTGTTAGTAGCTTTTGTCTCAAAAACTTCTATATCCTTTAAATATTGTTCAGATTTTTTTATATTTTCGTTTATGTTACTCATGTGAACGTTATTCAAACTACTATTTATGTTGTTCTTAGCCGTTTTCAAGAATTCAATTTTATCTTTTCCTCTATTTGAATTGCTGACTTGAGTTGTGCATTTGTCTTTATATTCTTTTATCTTGCGTAAATAGGACTCCATTTCTCTTTTCTTTTTATTCAAAATTTCATGATTAATTAGTTCAATCTTGTTTATTTGGTCAATTATTTGTTCATCTTCCAAGGTTATGTCAATTTTGCTTTTATGTTGCTCTGCCTCAGTTATCTGAGCGGCTACTTCTTCTAATAATTTATTTGATTTGTTAAGTTCGTTTTTCGCTTCCTGATTGAATTTTAATGCATCTTGTGTGTTATTTAATATATTTTTAGCTATCGTATTAGAACTATCCGAAGCTAGTAAATCTTTCATACTATTCATTTGTTTTCTTATTTCTTCCATACAATTATATTGTACCTTTACTTTTGACAGATAATCATTAATTTTGTTTTTGATAACTTTTATTTTGTTTATATCTTCAATTTTGTCTGCGTTGTTCTTATCGTTTGTGGCATTTGTAGAAAATACATTTATTTCCTTATTGCTTTGTATAGCCTTCTGGTAATATTCTTCATATTCAAAATTATTCATATGGTTCTGTTTGAATTCTTCAGTGTTACCTTTGATTTCATCTATTCTTGTTTTGGAGGATTCGATATCCTCCATTACAGATTTAGCTTTTGTGTTTTCCTTATCGATCATGTAAACAGCGTGATGAATTAAAATTATTGCGTGTTCCTTTTCGATTTGTTCTACTTGGTTTAATATAGTGCTTTGTTCATTTTCTATTTTGTTTAATATGTCGAGTGTTTTTTTTTTCATTTCTCCATAAATATTTTCCATGTTGCTTTTTTCGTCTTTGAATTCGATGTTGTGATCTTTTTCTTTGTGGAACGCTTTCATATATGCATCATGGTTTTGTTTCACACTATTTATTTTTTCGATATTATTATTTATATGTTGCAATATATCTTTTTCACATTTGTCTTTAAAAGCGCTTATCCTGCTTTGAACCATATGGTCTATGTCCTTTTTAACGTCTTCGTCAAAATTAAAAGCGTTCATTTTTATTTTTATACCCTTCAGAAAATTTAGATTCCGCTCGATTTTTTCATTTATGTCCGTGTTCGTCGTTGATATGAGTTTATTACCCAATGTTATAATTTGGCTATGTTGATCTTTTATCAACTTTTCTATTTTATTTTCTAGTACTTGATAAATAACGTTGAATTTGTGTATTTCTTGTTGTGTGTTTTTGCACTGAGTTTGATATTTTTCCAGATCATCCGCATTGGTTACTATCTGTTTTTCCATATTGTTTTTTTCCTTTTCATAGTAACCCTTCAATTCATTTTCATGTGCTTCTAATGTAGATATGGGCGCGTCAGGTATTTCCTTTTCTACATTATTTTTTTCTTCTTTTAACATGTTTAAAAGGGATGATCTGTCATTTTCTTCTATTATATGGTAACTATTTAATTCTTGAATATGGTTATCTATTTTGTTTATTAAATGATTCTTGTTCTCTTTTATTTTTAGAATCGATTGTGTGTTTTCATTAGAGTTTTTCATAAGAGTATGTAATAACTTTAGCGTGTCTATAACCTTTTTCGTGTTTTCTATTTGGTTTATAGTATTACTAACAGATTCTTTGTGATGTCTTAATTGCTTTTGAAGTTTTTCCAATTCTGAGTTTTCGTTTTTAGTTTTAAAAACGTCTAACAAAATTTTAGTTTTTTGATATATCTCACTGTTCTGTATTTCTGTTATTTGTATTACTTTTTTGTAGGCTTCCATTTGTTCATTAGCTTTTGTTATATTTTCCTTGAATGCGTCAATATGGTGCGCTATTGTGCTTCCCTTATTAGCAACATGGTCCTTATACGTTGTATATTCTTCATAGATAGTTTTTTCTTCTGGAACGTCTTCATCCACTTTTTTGATTAATATAGTGCGGAATTTGTCTTTTATGTTATTTATTTTATTTGTGTAGGTTTTAAGTTTGTCCGCACATTCCTCGTAATTGTTCAAAGTATTTTTTATTCGGTTATTTTCTTCATTTAGTTTGTTGAACGAACTTGACACATTTTCGATCATATATTGAATATATGCCGTGATAATATCGTTTTTTAATCGTGAGAGACTATTTAACACTTCACTCAAATCATTTAACATTTTGGGTATACCATCACAGTTCATATTTACAAGTCGATCATATTGTTCTTTTGTTTTTTCGTACAATATTTTAGTCGCTTCTTCTTCTTTAGTATTTTCTTCCTTGTTTACGGTTTGATTCTTTGTGTAAAATTGTGCTAAATTGTCTACAAAAGTTTGTAATGAATTTTCGTTATAAAATGAATCCATGATTGATTTTGCTTTGTTTTGCAATTCCGTTTTTTTAGTGATAAATTCGTTCGAATCATAGGGACCATCTTTCATCAAATTATCAATACTTAGAATATAATTTTTTATTTTGTCCCTCTCGGAAATAATTTTTTTTATGTTATCCAACGCAACAGGAAAATATTCCAAATGTTTTTTTATTTCCTCTTTCATGAAACGATGTTGTTTTTCATTTTCAATTAATTCTTTAATTTTGTGCACATCCTCATTAATAATTTTTTCTGATTGTTGAAATTTGCTTTTAATACTACTCATCTGTTTTGAATATTGTTCTACGTCTTGATTAATTTTGGTTATCTCATTTGTTTTGGATTGTATTTTGTTTAAAACCTCTAGGAGTATCTTACTTTTTTCTAGAGAACTCATTTTCCCCTCAGTTTTTTCTCTATACTTTTCTATTTCTACACTTGCTTTTAATTTTAATGTATATGTTTCATTTACTTTTTTAATTAACTCCCTCGAATCTTTTGGATATTGTTCTAATGTAAGAATTTTTTGATCTAAAATTTCCTTAGTCTTTTTTATTTGAACATTCGAATAAGGTATATGCTCTTTTATCTGGTCGTAACTAGAATTGCGTAATTTTTCTACAGATTGTACAATTTCTTCAGAATCAGAGAGAATAGAATGTATCATGGACATCGAATATGTAGTGGACATATAAGTATTTATATTATAGTTGAGACCGTCCTCCAATATTGTAAAAGTGTGATAAAGTTTTTCTAATTTGCTGTTCGACACATTTTCCAATTTTTTTAAAGATTCCGTACTAATTTTGAAAGTGGAGTAATTGTAGGCTAAAAAGAAGAATTTATCTTGAAGAACATATCTATGGAAATATGTGCTCCAAGGTTGTTTAGAAAGTGTATCTATAGTTTCAGCTGATTTATTAACTGCTTCTAAGTGAAGGTTCATAGTATCCGCAATATGCTTAATTTCCTCTAGTATAAATTCTGTTGTTTGAAAGACAAGAGGTTTTTTTAACTGTTCTTTTACTTTTCCTAATATATCATGAGCAGACTTGTGTATTTGCATAACGTTATTTATAAAAGAAGTATTATGTGCGATGTTATATTCTGTAACATTTCTTTTACGTACTACAACAACATTATGATATATATATGTTTTACAGTAGTTAAACAGAGGGCACGATATATCCCATATAGTATCGTAGGTTTTTCCCTTAGTTTTTTGAATATCCGTTTTATTATTGTTATAATTTATTTTCATGCATTGTTGTAATTTATCAAGTTTGGTTTTGTACTCTTTTTTCTTACCATCGTAGTCACTTTCTTGAATTCCATGTTTTTCTGGATTTTCTAAGTGATATATTAAAGTATTCAATTCTCTTGTTTGATCTAAGCATGTATGCATACTCTTAGATATAATACCCTCAATGCGTTTTATTTCTACATTAAATACCCATTTGATAGCTTGGGCCAGTTCGTAGTGATGTTCTGAGTAAAATTTCATTTCTCTAAAAGCATAAATTTCAGGATTATATGGAAATAGTAATAAAATTATTCTGGAATCGTCATTCAGGACACAAACATAGTCCAGATTAATCCCTTGCGTCACTTCTACATGGACGTCACGTTGTGTTTTTTTTATGGATGTATTTGGAATAGTATTAACCTTTTTCTGTGTATATTTTTTATCATTATTTTTTGTATTACCTGTATTATGTATAGTATCTGTATTATCTTTTTTATCTGTATGTGTCTTGTCCTTATGTAGGTATGAATAACGTGATGGTCTTCTTCCAAGTTTATAATTTTTTAAAGATATGAACGAGGAATTATTTCGTAACTGAGTGCTATTTACGTTTTCGTTTCCTATTCTGCTATCATCCCTAAGATGGTTATAACGGTTCTCATTGATATTATTATTTTGTTCATGTCCCTTTGGTTCAGTGTGATGTTCGAGCTGGTCAGGTTCCATGGATGTGACATGTTTGGGCGATAGCACGAAATCCTTTTTTAGCCTCTTAGTCTGGTTTCTGTTACTATTCTTGCATGCTGCTGAGGGGAGAATATATAAAAGGGGAGGAGGGTGCTAAAAGTTGGTATATGTATAAAAGGCTGCATATCTTCTTAGGTGCATGGTCTTGTGAAGTTAAGGAAACACACGTGTGTGTACGAGGGAAGAATGTGTAAAATGAGGGGTGAGTAGGTAAAAAGGGTCAAATGCGATTTTTCCGCACGTTTCACATGTTCGACAGTCTAGCTAAAGGAACAAAACATGCACGTGTTATTTAATTTTACCGGAAAGAATAAAAAGGTTACAAAGAATCACAACAACTAGGTTCATTTGCATATTCCAAATATGGTGCAAATTATACTTGTTCTTTTTTGTTTTTTTTTTGTATAAGTCATTAAAAGTTTGGTGTGAGTGGCTTTTAGCCCAATTTGTGGTAGAACCACTACTTCATAAAAAATGTATAATTAAAGGACTACCCCCTCTAGTGCACGTTTTTAGGAAAAAGGGAAACATTGATTAATCTGTCTATATTTGTTACCAATAGTGTTATGTATAAATGTAATATAAAGTAAAGCAGTGAAATTTCCCTTTGACAGATTTGTGGAAGGAACACTGAAGTATGTAAGTTACTATTTTGTAGAAACCGAACGGAACATGTAACATGTGTCACCAAGAACAATCATAGTGATAAATTGTGCAAATAATTCCAAATGATCAACTTATATATTTGAATAATTAATGTATAATTAATATGAAGTCAACGAAATGGCAAGAAAAAATCTTTTTTGTACGACACCATTTCAGTGAAGTTTATAACACCACAACAATATTATTGTTAGGTGTGTACATATGGTAAAATAATAAGTCAAAAAAAGAAAAGACGGAAAAAAAGGAAAAAGAAGTAACAAAAAATAAAAAAGGAACAGAATGAAACAATTTTATACTGGCATTTTCATAAAATAGGAAAAATCGCATAATTGCCTTAACATGAAATTTAAGAAAGGCGGGAATTACCCTTTCAATATTACCTCATAAATTACAAAAAAAAAAAAAAAAAAAAAAAAGAAGAAAAAAAAAAACAGGTAAGAACTGCCTCTTTTTTGCATTATATTTAAATGCTAAGAATATATTTAAATTCAAAATGTTTATTCCTTTTGTGGTTTTTATTTTTTAGTGCATGAAGCACAAAGTCAGACTAAATATGAACACACGAATTTCACAAAATTTACGTTAAAAGGGTAATCGTGATTTGCTCTGAATATGTTGTTCATTCATAAACGTGTTAGAACAATTCTACAAATGATTCTTTCTGTTGAGCACCGGGTCCTGGGAAAAGTAACATCAGCATTAATTTAATATTAATGTTAATATTAATATTAATGAGCTTCATCTCAGTGGGTCTAATCGCACACCA